ACACTGTTCTGCTGGGTCTATTTTCCATCCTTGTAGGAACCATAGGTTCCAGACTTTGTCATCTCAATTTCTACAAGCTGGGGCTGGCTTTTAGGGCCATTCAGATACAAGGTAGAAGAAAGGGCAATATTCACTATCCAGAAATCCTAGAGAATATCCTCAGTAACGTGCAGAAATATTCAGATTGTTGGTTGCATAGATCATATCATTAACTCAGCATGGATATAAAGCCTGCTTGTTAATTTTTTTTTTTTTTTTTTTTTTTTTTTTACTTGAGCATCTTTCAGGCATTCTTCAATAATCACTTCTGTGATGCAGCATGAGATTCTGGAACTTTCTGATTTGTTCTTCAGATCACACCATCAGTTGTTTATTAAAATACCTTGTAGCTTGATCTATTTTAGGTTTTTGTTTAAGATCCTGGACCTGAATTAACATTGATGATGGGTTTATCCTAAAACAGATGGGCCACAGCTAGCCACCACATTCGCTGGAAAAGTCTGAATTCTAGTTCTGGCCACCACACTTGTGTACTACTCGGCCTTGGGCAAATGACCCTGCCTCACCTGGTGAAGGGGTGGTGGCAACAAGACTGGCCTAACTTACCAGGGTGTGGTGTGGATGAACTCACCAGTGCCTATTAACAAACACAAATGCTGAATTCTGAAATGTTGAGCTTCCCAATTCCTAGGGAAACATGGTGAAACATGTCAAACAGGATGAGTTTTCCAAACTGTCATGTGCACTCCCTTAAACTATTAAATTTACAGCCTGCTTAGGTTTCAGTCATCCAGCCTATAACCAAGTTGATGTCTCTTGAACTGAGGCTGACAATTATGAGGTTTTGGATTGCAAACCATTGCAGTACCTGGCTCCTGTCACAGAAGAGAATCAGGTTTCTCTCATTTGTAATCTTGAAATCGAGCTTTCAGATCAAAATGCAGAGGCGGCAAGGGGACAATGGAGGAAGCCACCTGGAGTATAAAGTGATTCCTAAGCAGTATTTTGACTTAGTGCTACTATTTATTATATATTAGAAAACTATTAGGCTGTCCTTTAGCTACAACTCCAAATTTATCATGACATTTGTCTTGGAGCCCAGGAAGGACCTCATGAGAAGGGAAGGCTCACAGCAGGATCCAACTGTGGAGAGGCACCAGCACACTTAAGTAGCATGCCTGCAAACATGTGAAATGGGATTCTGCCATCTTTGTTCAAGTGAAGAATATTTCAACCTGCTTAGGAGCTAAACACATTTTTAGAGTAAATCATTCTGCCGGGCGCGGTGGCTCACGCCTGTAAGCCCAGCACTTTGGGAACTGAGGCAGGCAGATCACTTGAGGTCAGGAGTTTGAGACCAGTCTGGCAAACATGGTGAAATCTCATCTCTACTAAACATACAAAAATTAGCCGGGCATGGTGGCAGATGCCTATAGGCCCCGCTATTCAGGAGGCTGAAGCAGGAGAATCTTGAACACGGAAGGCGAAGGTTGCAGTGAGCCGAGGTCATGCCACTGCTCTCCAGCCTGGGTGACAGAGCAAGACACCATTTAAAAAAAAAAAAAAAAAGAGTAAATAGTTCTGAAAGTAAAGATATTAGATGTAAAAATATTTGAAATTTTTTCACTACCTTATTCTTTAATTTCATTTAAATTACATAGTACACATTTGATTAAGGAGATCCAAATTAAAATTCAACTCTACATCTGTAGATCCAAAACAAGGTTTATAGACCAATAGATCTATCGGGACGGTGGCGCTATGTTGCACTGCATAAAATAACTTATAATACTTAGAAAACGATCATCCTAACCCTTACCAGAAAATCTTCAAATTAAGCGGCTCCTCTGCCAAAAATCTCAGTGGTGAAATGCTTAGAGTCTTACATTAGGTAAAATATTTCAGAAGGTAATTTATTCATCTATTTTGCCAAATGTAGCTTATTTTACTACATCTGTAAAACTGTGGTAAATCTTACCTGTGCTTAAGAAAACATAAAATTGCTCATTAGAGAGCCAAGTTGAATGAATAAGATGTATTCTAACTTTTAAGTGCTTGTTAGAAGTCATTTACATTGTTTTGCTTCCTAATTTAAATTTATTGATGGCCCTAGAGACACAGAGATGTTTGCTGTAACACACATTGCTTCAACAACACTCATTCTCACCTCCTCTGTCAGAAGTAATTTCTAAAAACTCTTCCCACAGATAATTAACAAATAATTTTCATTGAACTAAAAAGAAAATTTTGTAACAGACATGATGGAAAAATTTCTTTTCCCAGTATCTTCTTCTAACAGTAATCACAACATTCTTATTTTAAAAAAACAGCATGGTGAACGTTCTTTATCTGTTAGTTTTTAGTAGTAGTCCTGAAGAATACAAATTATTCACTGAGAAGTTCATTTAAATTGGAGGGTCTACCTCTTCAAAACATATCCCAAGTCCATCCACGGCTTTCATTCTCCATTACTGCCCACTACCTTGACCCAAGGCTGCTACAGCCATCTCACAACTGGAATTCCTGACTCCCCTTTACAAGGGAGTTTTTTGAACTGCAGACATAATGATCTTTCAAAAACAAGAAAATGACTATTTTTTCTGCATAAAACCTTCAGAAGACTTTCTACAGCACTTAGCATGAAACCCAAATCCTCCACCAGGGCCATCCAGGCCCTATGTAATCTGACCATGCCTCCCAAGTTTTCAAAGCAGATGGCCTCTCCACTCCTTATTCCAAGCTTATTACCAACTCAAGGTCTTTGCATTTGTCATTCCTTTAGTATGGACCATTCTCCAACTACATCTCCGTCTGCCTACTGCTCATCACTCACGTGTGAGCTGTCTCCTCCATAGAGAGCTCTTTCCTGGCCATCCTATCACCTTATTTAAATCTTCCTTGCTCTGCAAACATTTTATTTGTATTCTGTTATCCATCTCTTCGTACTAGGATATAAGCTGCATGACGGCAGGGGACTAGTCTGTTTGCTTTCATTTCTATATTCCCAGCACAGCCTCTAGCACACAGCACCCAATGTTGCTGATGAATGTTAATTACACTAGCACAGTGCTTAGGAGCCTGGGCTTTGGAGTTAGATCAATCAGGGTTCAAATACCAGGCTAGCAATTTACTATCTCAGTAACTTATTTGGACAAATTCTTTTTAAAGACTTGATTTCTTTATAAAATAGAAGTATTTGTGGGGCAAAATAAATCCAAATTTAAATGAGGTAGGTGGGATTCATTTCCTTAGCCAGAGTTAAGGCTCTAATTCAAGACTTTCTCTTAATTCCCAACCTCAAACTTAAGATGTTATGAAGGGGGAAAAACAGCAAACTTTCAGTCATCCTTATGTCATGATTTTCTTTCAGAGACCTAAAAGTGCAGTGTTTTAGGAGCATACACACAGGCTTCTGCAGTCAGACGGCCTGAGTTCAAGTCCTGCTCCTGCACTTAACTGCTGGCAGTGATACCAACTCCTGGGCCTCAGCCTCCTCAGGGAAGAACAGCACTTCCATCAGGGAGCAATGCCAGGAGAACCCTTGGCAGCTCAGTGCTTCCTCCACGCTAGGCACACCATCACACCCATTAGTATCTCACTGAATTGAAAATACTTCTTACTCATGCCTGTAATTCCAGCACTTTGGGAGGCCGAGGCGGGCGGATCACAAGGGTCAGGAGATCCAGACCATCCTGGCTAACACGGTGAAATCCCGTCTCTACTAAAAATACAAAAAAATTAGCTGAGCATGGTGGCAGGCGCCTGTAGTCCCAGCTACTAGGGAGGCTGAGACAGGAGAATGGCGTGAACGCAGGAGACGGAGCCTGCAGTGAGCCGAGATCACACCACTGCACTCCAGCCTGGGCGACAGTGAGACTCCGCCTAAAAACAACAAAAATAAAATGCTTCTAACTTAGGTAGATTCAAGATCTACTACCAAGAATGAATTTCACTGGAAGAACAAAATGCATTTTCCAATATGAAAATGTGAATGACATTAAAGCCATGTCAACAGATGCTGGAAGGCGCACATAACAAGCCAGTGAGCCCCATCAACTCAGGGGTCCTCTGACCATGAGCAACTGATGGCTTTGCTTTGAAGATCATCAATGCTCTTCAAATCTTATTCTAACAGTGTCACGTTATATTCTCTATTTACAGAGGCTCATAGGAAAATTTCCAATACTACAAAGAACTTTTAAAAAACACCCTTTAATGACTCATTTTATTAAGCAAATTCTCCCTGCTAACATCTTTGTTACTTAAATACTTAAATTCTCTATACTTTAGGCAGATCTAGTTTTACTTTTCGGTGTTTGAATAATTCCCTTTCAAAAAATATTCTCTTCAAGGCACTTTCCTCCAATGTGCACAGCCCATTCACTTTCAGCAGACAACGGTGATGATAAATAAAAGCCATCACAGGATCTGTAAGGTGGACGGTTCAGGTTGTTCCTTTCCCAGAATCATTAAGGGGCATAAATGAACTGAATCTCATTGTCTGGGAGGAATTTGGACCACCTGTCTGGCAGCACACTGGCTGGGGGTGGACTGTGTGCGGATGTCCTGGGGGGAGGGTGTGGAGGAAGGCAACACACACAAAACACTCTCGTCCACATCCCTTCCTCTGCTTTTTAACTGGATGAAAATATGGCTTTGTGTTGGTTCAGGTGACATAAAAAGGTGAAAACAGTAGATCTCAAATTATATTTTACTTTAAATATCAAAGGTCGAAAAGGGGTCCACAAATCAGTAGCTCCTGAGACCGTGCGTGCGCGCGTGCGTGCTTAAGTCGGTCTGTTTCAATTCCACATGGGTTTTTCCACACACTGGTTCCTGGCATCGAGCGCTGGTCTGCAGGACACCAGAGTGCCTTTGTGTCCCTTGCTGACACTACTGCATTGTGTTTTTCTACCCATTAACCAAGGATAAATGACCTAGATATTGTGCCTATTAAAGCCTCATTTTTCTTTTGCCCTTTTGTTCTTCAGTGTACCACATTATCACACGCTGCACACATTTCTAAGTATTCTCAGTCTCAGATGCCCTTTTGAGGGAGTAATAGGAGCTTTTTGTATGCATTTCTGTTGAGATATCTGGAGTGGAATTATGTGAGAGTAATTCAAGGTTTTCTTTCCTGTCTAGTCTTGGAGACAGTTTAGTGTATTACTAAAAGCTAATCTAGTATAAGAGGATATATCAAGAAACTACAAAAGCCAGAATGCTGTATTTGCATCTATTGCGAATACAAAAAATAGAGTGAACACCAGTTTCCCTATATACTACATTCTATAATTACATCTCTGCATATCATGGGTCACTTTTATTAAAAGCATCATTACTACAGTTGGCAGCAATTTACATTTTATCTTACATGATAGCAGTTTTCCAAGAAAAAAATAAAAGGACATCACAACAAAGAAAAACAATACATTTACAAAGTCATGTCTGTAAACTTCAAGGCTAGTTTAGAGCTGAGGTAATGCTGTTTTAGCTTTGTGGCTAAAGTAACAAAGTCCTTTAATTTAAAAAAGGTACCTGATTCTCTCTTCTCTCACTCTTTATTTATTCATCTATTTATTTTGTTTTTACCAGTGCATTACAAGACCACAAGACAATGGAACTGTAGTTCTGTCTGGCAAGAACCCTCCCAGTAGGTGAGTTTTCCAAAGGGACCCTTCACATTCAACAGCTGCCTTATTATTGCTGCGCCTCGGGACAGAGGCGTTCACACTAGCGTGGAGATTGTCAGAGTGGGTGGATGTGTGTGGATGCGCGAGTGTGGGAACCCCATACAGTCAAAAAGGGAAACAAATGAGCAAGGATGATATGTATGGTAAATTTCAGCTTGACCTTCACAGCAAAAAAATTAAAAATTAAAATTAAAAAATTAAATATATAACTTCATACTTCCTTTGAGCAGCACCTTCTTCCATTAGTGCCACTCAGTTACAAATTGCTCTTTATTATAATACCAATGGTACCAAGAGAAAAAAAAAAGCAGAGCATTATGTAAGTTTCCTTAAAAAGACATGATCACCTCTCAAATTTCATCTCTCCTAGGGATAATAAATAATGCACTGCACAATACTTAATGACCAAGATACCTTTTGACACACCTGTATAACATGACTTGAACTTTTTTTTTTTTTGCTACACTATGTTACAGAACAGCTTATAAAACTAGGTATGAACATTAACTGTGAGTGTAAACAGTAGGACTACCACTTGTCAAAAGTTTTAAACACTTGAACTGGAACTGGTACTGGTTATTCATCATTTTCATTGTTTTCTATTTCGTCCCCCCCATCAAGTGAGTCTAGCTCTTCACCCTGTGCTATTTCGTCTTCTAAGAGGGAGGACTCTGCAGTCTTATCCAGGCTCTCCTCGGCATCGCTGCCTTCAAGGGTCTCTCCATCTTTAAAGGGTCCTCCCTCGGCCTTGTCAGCAGCAGCCTTTTCTTCGCTCGAGCCCACGGCATTCTGAAGTCCTGCCAATGCTGGGAACCCAGGCAGCGTCAATCCCCCCAGTCCTGGAGGTAGAAACATGGATGGGTAGAAGAGGCCTGGGGCCATGGTGGACAGGAGGAAAGGGTTGAAGGCTAGTGGGTTTGAGGGCAATCCGGCCGGGGCAGTAGCAGCACCAACAGATCCATTCGCAGAGTCAGCAGCCGAAACAGCATCTGTGCTTTTCTCAGAGTCTTTGTTCTCGTCTTCATTCTCATTTCCTTTCTCCTCTCCTTTTGAAGTGCTGTCTTCCGGTTCTCCTTGACTAGAAGCAGTAGTGGTGTTTCCAGTAGCAGCTGACAGAGGGTTATTCAACAGCCCGCCCAAGCCAAACACGTTGGGCAGGCCCGCCATTCCTGGCAGCATCAGGGGCAGCACAGCAGCAGGGTTCTTCGCATCGCCTCCGGCGGTGGCAGCTGTTGCCAGTCCTGGAGGGAAGCCCATGAGGCCTGCCAGCTGGAGCGACTGGAGATTCTGGAGATTCTGAAGGCTCGTCAGGTCCATTCCAGCAAACAGGCTGTTCACCAGCAAAGGGTTGATCCCTGACGTGGAGGCCACAGCAGCAGCGGCCGCGGCTGCTCTGGCGATCTCACTTTTGGGCCTTCTTCCTCTTCTGCTCGCTCCCTCTCCCCGCACCACAGGCCCAGTGAGAAGGCGGTCAAACATCGACTCGGGAACAAAACCCTGGAGGAGAGGGGAGGCAAACAATGGCTATAAAGGCTGCCGAAGACAACTTGATCTCAATGTGAGCCTCTGTGGTGAACCTGCCATTCCAAATAGAAAGACCTAAGTAGTTCTTCCCTTCTAACAGCTCAATGATAAAACTTAATGACAGCAAAACTTGTTTTTATTATTATGTTAGCTTGCTGAACTGCAGAAAAATTGCTCAAGGCTACTCATCAGTGAGATAAATGTCAAGTTAGCTGCATCCATAACTAACTCAAGAAATCATACATCAGGAAGTACATGATGGGGTACAAAAATAAAGTTAGACAGGATGAGTAAGATCTAGTTTTCGGTAACAACAGGGTGACTACATAGTCAACAATAATTTATTGTATGTTTTAAAATAACTAAAAGAGTATAATCGCATTGTTTGTAATACAAAGGGTAAATGCTTGAGGTGATGCATACCTCATCTACCCAAAGTGATTATTATGCACTGTGTGCTTGTACAAAAATATCTCATGTACCCTATATATACACCTACTATGTACCCATAACACATTTTTATAAAGGAAAGTACATAATGTATAATTATATCAAATCATCACTTGAAGCCAGGTGCCGTGGCTCATGCTTGTAATCCCGACACTTTGGGAGGCCAAGATTAGAGAGGATTTCTTGAGCCCAGGAGTCTGAGACCAGCCTGGGGCACATAGCAAGACCCTATCTCTATGAAATTAAAAAAAATTATCCAGATGTGGTGGCATATGCTTGTCATCTCAGCTACTTGGCTAATCAGGAGGCTGAGATGGGAGGACTGCTTGAGCCCAGGAGTTTGAGGCTGCCAAGTGAGCTATGATTACACCATTGCACTCCAGCCTGGGTGACAGAGCAAGACCCTGTCTCTTAAAAGAAAAAAACACCATGCTGTACACCTTGAATATATATTTGATTCATCAGTTAATTTTTGTCAATTAAATATCTGTCAATTAAAAAAATTTTTTGGCTGGGCAGTGGCTCACACCTGTAATCTGAGCACTTTGGGAGGTCATGGCAGACAGACTGCTTGAGGTGAGTTCGAGACCAGCCTGGGCAATGTGGCAAAATGCCTTCTCTACAAAAAATACAAAAACTAGCCAAGCTTGGTGATGTGTGCCTGTAGTCCCAGCTGCTTGGGAGGCTGAGGTGGAGGATTGCTTGAGCCTGGGAGGTTGAGGCTGTAGTGAGCTGTGATTTTGCCACTGCACTCCAGTCTGGGTGACAAAGACCTTGCCTCAAAAAACAAACAAACAAAAAAGATATTGTATGGGAGAAAATTTATGAAATAGTATAACATAATATAAACCCAGGATGTTTTATCCCCTCTATAATGTGTTATTTTGGATATTTCAAATATGTGTAAGAGAAAAAGTATTTTTGAAATATGGAAAATGTAATTATATTTTATTATCTACCCTAGAAAAATGAAAACTTATGTTCACACCAAAACCTGTACACAATTGCTTATAGCAGCTCTAGTCATAGTTTCAAAAATCAGGAAATAACCCAGATGTCCTTCAGTGTGTGAGGGCTAAGCCGTGCAGTGTCACATCTATGCAATGGAGAGAGCTACTCGGCAACAGAAAGGAGTGAACTGTGACACGTGACCATCGATGACCTTCCATATGATGAGCAAAAGAAATTGCTCAGTTCTTCCAAACTTATGTCCTTCATGCTTACATTTTATGACATTCTCAAAAAGACAGGGATGGAGAACAGGTCAGTGGCAGCCAGGGGCTGGGGGTAGGGGAAAGGACAGTATGAGGGAACTTGAGGGGGTAGGGGGATGGAACCCTATTCTGACTAAGGTGTCAGTTCACAAACTCACACGTGTGTTAAGACTGACAGAACGTTACACTGAAAGAAAAGTCAGTTTTAATGTATAATTAAAACAAATAATCAGCATGTCATGAATGAACTTTTAAAAAGCTAGTAATAACAAAACCTTTTAGGTAGAACTGTTGTATTTTTTTGTTGTTTTTCTTAAATCAGAAATCACAGTTAATCTTAATGATCTCAACCACCATACATCCCATTCCACAGGTGAGCTGTTAAGTAGACTTACCTGGGGCAGTTCCCCTTGGAGAAGTCTACCTCCAAGACTGTGAATGTATGTTTCCATACAAACCTTTTAAATTGGAGCTGACAAATGAATTCACTTTGGATTAATGATGTATTGATGTAAGAAATGATATATTAATGATGTATGAAATGATGTATGAAAATGATGTATTATGTCAATTCTTTTAAGCTAAGTTACAACTGAATAATTAATGCCCAACAGAAAACAAGACAGACTCGGGAAAACAGTTTTGTATAGCTACCTTTCTTGACAGAAATGCAGTTTGTACTTACAGATTGCTTAACTATATCAGTCCAGTCTGGAGCAACTGCAAATTCAGGATTTTCTTCTAGCCACCTGGGTAGATCCTTCATCGGAGGCGCCATAGCTCCACCCATCTGGGTAGAGGCATTTGACAAATGATTAAAAACACAGTCTTCCCTCTCCTCTCTGTTAATCTACTCCCTACTCCTTCTATAAACACACACACACACACACACACACACACACACACACACACACACACACACACACACACACACACGCAATCTGGCAGACAGGATTCTTTTCCCTTATAGAAGAGGGCAGGATAAAACACTTCTTTCTGGGCTAAGAAATCACATAGTGATCAGTTCCCTTTCCCAGCGTTTACCTTCTTCCCATTTCGTTTATTGACAACAGGCACCCTTTCTTCTCCCGTCAAAGTGTTTATATCCAATTTATTAGGGTTTCGACATCTATGTCGTTTCTGTTTCGGTTTCTGAAATGAGGAAAATAGCACATCTGCATTCTTCTGCAAAAGAAAAAACATATTTAGTAAAACTGGTATTTAGTACTTAGTCTTCTCTATATAAATGCCAAAGAAAACTGTCAGATCATCTTCAATTATTATGGAAGTTTCAAGAATCATTTTAATTATTAATATTAGAAACCATATTCTTCTCTTTGAAAGAAAAAACTCCTTCTTTACCCCTGTCCATTAAGGAACATGTAAGTGCTGGCTTTTCCTTTTGTCTATCAATAAGCTCACTTAAAGTTTTTCTTTAAATGTTTAACCAAGTTGTGATATTTTTAAAGGAGGCTTTCTATAGTACTTTTACTAATTTCTAGTTAGTGGCTTGAATGAACACAAGAGATGATACCCCATCAACAACATGAGACTGTCTGTAATGGGAACTAACCAACAAATAGACAGATCTTGTGAGGGGGTAGGGGTACATTCTGAGTGGCAAGAACACTAGGCTGAACAAACAAAATAACACAACAAAATAAAATGTAAAACCCCACATTTAAGTTTTTAAAAATCAATCACATAAATTTGGAAAGCAAAAGACTTGCATTGCTAGCCAGCAAACAGTTTGTGTGACAAACCATTTGGAGATATGAACTGTCTAATGTTTAATATAAGGCACCAGCGTTAGTTGCCGTAAAAGCAGCTAATACAATCTTGGGCTGCACTAACTGGTCAAATCTCTGGAAGTAATGGCTTCATAGCACTCTGGGATGGCGAAGCCTTGTCTGGAGACTAGAGAAAGTGCATTCAAGAGTGTTACCCCAATACTAAGACCGCCTGGAAACAATGCCATGGAAAGAATAACTGAAGAAGTCACATGAGTTTGACGGGAGAAGCAAACAGTAAGGAAATGCATAATGCACATCTTCAAATAACCATAAGGCTGCCTTCAGTAAGACAGACCTAAAGCTAGTATCTGAAATGAAGAAGATTCAACAACAAAGACCTGGGAAATGTTTGAGACCAGGAAACATTCAAGGAAAAGGCAGAGGGACCAGCTTTCAGGGATTTCTATGTTGTAAGGGAATGAAGTGGACCGGCCTGCAATATTCCTTCCAACTCTAAACTCTGCAATACTCACTGGTACATAACTTGGCATATCAACAGTGTAAGTAGGGTGCAGCTTCAGCCATTCAACTAAATCCTTATTTTTAGGAGCATCTTCCCCCACCAGCCTTGTCCCATCTTCGAGATTGATAACAGGGATCCGTGTGTCTGGGTCCAGCTGTCCGGGAGAAGGAATGTTTCTTGTTGGTGGGGTCTCTATATCTTCTTCAAAAGCTTTGGTCACCTCAGCATCCTCCTGCAGAAAGTTCACAATGGTATGAATTCTCACACAAAGAGAGAGCCTCTGACAATGTCCTATTTCAAGAAAATGCTATCCTAGAATGGATCTTTGATCAAAAAGGGAAAATAGTTACTAGAAACAATGTCAGTTTGGGAACAGCTATTAAAAGTCAGAAAAAGAGGCTGGGTGCAGTGGCTCACGCTTGTAATCCCAGCACTCTGGGAGACTGAGGTGGATGGATCACCTGAGGTCAGGAGTTATAAAAAATACAAAAAATAGCCAGGCATGGTGGTGCTTGCCTGTAATCCCAGTTACCTGGGAGGCTGGGGCAGGAGAATCACTTGAACTCAGGAGGCAGAGGTTGCAGTGAGCAGAGATTGCGCCACTGCACCCCAGCCTAGGCGATAGAGTGAGACTTTTTCTCAAAAAAAAAAAAAAAAAAGTTAGAAGACGAAACTTTTATATCATTCTTCACACTGTAGAATAGTAAGAAGGTAAAAAATGTATAGTCCACTAAGGTTCCATGCTTTGAAACCCTAAGCCAGCCACTGGGAATACAATATGGGGAGTATAGTCTGAGCTGATATGCATGAAGGGCGGCCTCTCAAGCTCTCTTGGAGATCCCCAAATTAAATTAAAGATAAATTTAATTTATCAAAATAAATTAAAGATATTATTTAATAATGTTTAGATATTAATTAATTAACAAAATAAATTGAAGATAATTTATACTAAAGGAATTTCTAAAAGCCAGTTTATATGCAATTTATTGGCAATCTGTGCATAATATAATTTTGCTGGTAGTGGGACATTCTGTCTCAGGTATGTGTGGCAACACTGGAAAAAACAACACTAACTGAAGTCTACAGTTATTTCAACCTCCAGACACCCATTTCTCCTTCCCCACAGCTCTACCATGGTCCAGGCCTGCGTCACTTCCCACCCAGGTTATTGCAATATTCCTAAATGGTCTCCCTGATTCTAACCCCACCTGTCTTCAATCCAACCTCCACACCACAATGCTGGAGTCAGTTTTCTAAAATGCAGCTTTTCCCAGTTCAAAAAATTATGTCACATCACTCTCCTATTTTTTTCAATAACTGCATTCCTATTACCTCCAGGACAAAATCCAAGTTCTTCCGAATGGCATCAAAGCCCTCCATGATTTGCATCCTGCTTTCTCTCCAAGCTCATCTCTGCTGAAGCTCACCTCCTCAGCAAATTCCTCAGTTCGTCAGACCCAAGAGACTCTCTACTCTTACACATGTTCTCTGCCAACCCTTTTAAAATGACCAACTCCTGCATGATCTTCAAAACTTAACTGAAGTACAGCCATCCATAGGGAAACTTCTTCATCTGTTTCTCCCCATATCCTCTTCCCTCTACTCCCAGGCTTCCTTTGGGCTCATAAAGTACCCTAGACATGTCTTGGTCATGGCACACGTGCACAACCAGGACACATTATTATTTATCTGTTACCCCTTCCTAAACACTGCATTCTCTAGTGCAAGCACTTGTCAGGACTGTGTTTTTTGACTCTCAGTGCCGGCACAGGGAATAGTGCCAGCTTGTCCACTGTTGCTGAATGCATTCTTTTTCATGGCAGCACAGTTAAGAGTGCTGACAAAATACTAAATTCTAGGATCTGTCCTCTTTCATCCAGGTAACACTGCTGGCCTTTACATCTCTTTCCTACTCGGTTTATTTACAGATCGATCAGTGCTTTCCTTGTATTTTATGTGCATGCACATCACCCCCAACAACACCAAATGAGGAATCCCTACATTTCAAAATGTGACAGTTAAAAAAAAAAAGTTTTAAAAACACATTCTCTAACTTCAATTAGGAATTTTCTCAGGCTTTCTAAATGTGACTTCAGAAAAATATCAACAAATTCTTAAAGACTTAAAATAGTGAAATGAATAAAATCAGTCTCACATTTAAAATAGGGTGTGTAGAAGAAAGCACCTGGGTTGCATTACTAATTCCTAACACCTGGTCCAGAGATAAAGCTGTGTCATGATCCAAATATTGAACATAATTGCCTGTAATCCCAGTACTTCAGGCGGCTGAGGTGGGTGGATTACTTGAGCCCAGAAGTTCGAGACCAGCCTGGGCAACATGGTGAAACCCTGTCCCCACCAAAAATACAAAACAATTAGCCGAGTATGGTAACACACGCCTATAGTTCCATCTACTCGGGAGGCTGAGGTGGGAGAATCACTTGAGCCCGGGAGGTGAAGGCTGCAGTGAGCCAAGATTGTGCCACTGTGCTCCAGCCCGGGTGACAGAGTGAGACCCTGTCTCAAAAACAAACCCTGTTTCAAAACACAAAAAACCCTACAAATATTGAACATGATAATAAACAAAAAGAAGTGTCAGCTGCAGAAACTTCCTAATTTGTTAAAGTTTATGGAGAAAGAATTTATCAGTCAACAAAATCTATCAAAGAAGTAGTTTCAAACAGAAAGGCTAATGACTAGTGCTACAACTCTGTTTCAGGGCCATACCCCTAGAAATGGTGTTTTAACTTACGGAAAACATATAAGTCACAGCTAGTCCATTACAAAGTATACTTTTACAGGATTCCGAAAACAATCATACCATCAACAAATGTGACCATTATGATGACTGGTGCATTGGTAATCAATTTTGAAAAAAAATTTTTTTTATTTTTTTGAAACGCAGTCTTGTTCTGTCGCCCAGGCTGGAGTACAGTGGCGCGATTGTGGCTCACTGCAACCTCCACCTCCCGGGTTCAAGCAATTCTCCTGCCTCAGCATCCTGAGTAGCTGGGATCACAGGCACATGCCACCAGGCCAGGCTAATTTTTATAATTTGAGTAGAGGCAAGGTTTTGCCATTTTTGCCAGGCTGGTCTTGAACTCCTGACCTCAAATGATCTACCTGCCTCGGCCTCCCAGAGTGCTGGGATTACAGGCGTGAGCCACCGTGCCCGGTCCAATTTTGAAAATTTACTCTGAATGCTTCTGTTTTAATTAGACTCCACCAGAGGGCAAACAAATTTCAGTGAATGTTATTTTTCGTTTCTGAACTTCAACTCAACCACGTCTTATCCTGCCTTCTTATTAAGCTTTCTCTGGGTTCAAGAAATAGAAAATGGGCAAATAATAATAGGGATGGAGTAAGAAAAAACATGCTGCAACAGACAACTGTCTTCCCTCAATCTCAAATTTCAGTATTTCCCAAGCTATGTCCCACTGCTTGAGGAAGGGCCCAGGATGGCCCAGTACCTGGAAGGCTTCCCAGAGCACCCACTCTTCACAACACAGACAAGGAGCTCCAGCCACTATGGTGACTGGGGCTTCTAGTCAATAGGTTCAAGATATATAGTGCTAAACCATTTTTTAAAAAAACGCATGTAACTGTGCTCTTTGGGATAAAATTCTGGTCATCAGTGAGTCAGGCACCACATTTTTGGGTGAGATGTAGTTGAAGCAGATTAAGAAAGAAAATCATTTTGATTATACTGCATTCATTTATTTCCTCTGAATTGAGAAAGGGAAAGTCAAAATCCATTGGTTCATACGTTCTATTCAAACCTATTCTAGTAAAGATGCAGCTCAGATTTTTAAAATACTTACGGAGGTAGGAGAATTTGCCGTCACTAGCTTTTTATGTTAACACAAATCTTAGGTCCAAAACGAAACATTTATACTAATTCTAATAAATGCCAGGCCTAAAACATATCAATAGCTTTAAGAGCAGAAACTTGTTTCACCTCGAGAATTCAGAGATAACAATTCTAGGCTCAGAAGAACATGTTTCTGGGTTGGGCTGTTCTTCTGAGAGCAATCAACACATCAGAACTTGGGAAGAATACATCCTCAAGCTACAGTTCGTTCAGGCCAAGTGATCTGTATCAATGATCAGAATCATGACTGTTCACTGTAAAACTATTTCTTTAGTGGAGGAAGCTGGCTTTCATACCATGCTGCTGAGAGAAACACAGCCCAGCAGCGTGAGCATCGCGGGACCCTCAGTTGTCAACATGTGCAATCGCCATGCAGGCAAGCTCCCCGACTTACTGCACTCAATGACGTCCGTTTGTGGCTCATGAAAAGCAGATCAAGGCCCTCCACATTTTTCCTCCTTCCCCGCCTCCTCTTCATGGGAGGCTCTCCATCCACTAGGGAGCCATTAAGGAGATGCCTTGTGGGTGTGCGCGAAAGGCCTGCTTGGAGCAGTTCCATTTGAGTCTTAAAGGCATCAGACACTGGTGTCGAGACATTAGGCAAGATAAACTTTGAAGAAAGAGATGAAAAATTTGAGGTAGAGCTTGTTGCCTCTCTTGAGGCCTTCGATAAATCTACAACTTTTTCTTGTCCATTTTCTGAGACCACCTGAGACTCTCGAAGCTGGGCAACCATCTCCATGAGATTTCGCCTCTTGGCAGCTCTTTCGGCCTCAATTTCGATTTTTCTCCTCCTCCTCCTCCGCTGGCGAGGGACAGAGAGGTTGAGGGCATCTTCCTATTGAAAAATTCCAACAGAGTAGGGTTGCAGTGAGCCAGAATTGTATCGGCTATATGGGCTGGTTTTAGAAATAAGGAACAAGAAGGTTAAGGAATTAAGCATTCACGACTGGTGCACAGAGCTGAGGAAACAGCAGCTATCTTATTTCTAAGCAGGACCAGTGAAATATAAGCTCCCAAACTCAGTTAAGGCTTAGAGGGCTCCCTTTTAAGCTGCAGAAACAAGCCATTCTAACTTACTTTTGATAACTGAGGAGAAGTAGTGAGGTCCTCACTCCCACTAATGCTGGCTTGGCCGACCATGGAGAGCTCAGCAAAGCTCCTCTTCTGCAAGGGGCTGTCCACTGTGGTGGGTGTGTAACCTGGGATGAGGCCTTGGAAATCAAACATCTGGCGCCTATTTACTGGCCATTTGCTTTTCAACACTGCTTCACAGATGTTGTCTAATCGGTTTATCATTACTCTATCCTGGAGGGAGAAGAAAAGTCACAAGAAATTTTAACAAAGCCCTGGTTAAAATTACTAGATAAATACATCCATCAAGATGCAAAAGAGCATAAAATGTTTAAAAGTCAACTGGAGGACAAAGAGTAAAAGAAAACAAAAGGCAAGAAACCAAGTAAGAAAGTAAATAAACAAAATCTCCTATAATGGCATTGATCTGGCAGAAGGTCCTAGGTGGCTTCAACACAGAAAACATGCTATTTTTAAATTACAAACACTGAACTTCGTAAAACAGAAAAATGTACTAAATAATCACCACCTTCAAAATATCTTCATATTTAAAAAGTAACTCTTATACAAGCTCCACAGACCTCTGCTGGTGGACGTCAGTGGATGACAATGGAAACCCTGCATTAGCATCTTGCTGCCCAGGCCCTTCAGATCTACAGGCTGGATTGCAGTCCCAGGAAGTGGGACATCATTAGCGTCACTATTAATAAAGTTCAGCATTATGAAATGGGCACCAACCTAGGAACACCTAATGAATGTCAATTTGCATTCCCTACCTATTATCACTTCAAATTTCATTGAAGCGTGTACACTAAAAATTTCTAATTACAGCTTTAGACTGAGTTTCCCTAGATTAAAAGTGCCTGCTACTATAACCTTTGACTGATCTGGGAAACTCCCTCCTACACTCAATAAAGGAGGTTAGCATAACAGGGGAACTAAAGGGACAGACAGAGGAAAGAAAATATCTTTGACAGTACATTCTTTGGTCAAAATTTTCACCTTGTTTCTTAAACAACAATAATACTGGGAAAGACCAGCCTGAGGGTAGGCTGACTGAAGCTCATTTTTTGTGTTGTTTTAAACCAGACAGCCCTGTTATGGTGATTAGGATGATAGACCTAAATTATACGGGGAATTATTATAAAATTATACTATTTAGCCAAAAAAGTAATTTCCATTTTGCTTTTGGTTACAGATAACTACATTTGGAATTATCTCATAATGTGTTAAGAGCAAATGGGTCAACAGTATACCCTCTCCCAAGTCAAGAAGCTGGTAGGTTTCCAAAAATATAAAGTTGTCTTAAATCTGAAGGCTTTATTTCACATAAAAAATTTTTAAAACACAGTAATAATCCACAGATTATACTAGACAACAGGGGTAAGTAACCTAAAAGCCACATGGAGCCAAAGATCCATCTATATAAACACTTCTATTTCTTATTATCTTTCTTTCACATCACATTTCTCATCCTATTAGAAAAGTGTTCTACAATTTTTTTCTTTGGGCTTTTTCAGATCATTCTTTAAAAGCGTAAGAAAAATCTATAGTCTTCATATACTGTGTCAAAAGTTTACCTTAAAATTATTTGAAAAATCAAGTTAGGAAGATTTCCTCTACCCTAATCCCTTTTGGTCAGCCAAACAACAACAGCAACATAAACCTGCCAACCTTAGGCCAAAATGAGAAGGCAAATGTTCTTTCATGAAGGAGCTGAGCTACTGAAGGATCTCCGTCCTCCATGTAGAATCCATCTCGGGTTTCATCTCTAGCAGTGCTCATGGAAGCATTGCTTTCTTCATCAAAATTCTTCCCTCTAGAGACAGCTCCTGCTGAGAAATGAGTTAATGTGCATTACTCACAACCACAGTATCAGGGAAACTGAAGTTTAGAAAGGACACGATTAAAAATGTGAATACTAATCAACTCCATTTTATTGAGTACCTACTACATGGCTAGAATGGTATTAGGCATTGTTGTCTAAAGCTTGTAACAGCCATTTCACATAGATGGTGTTATTTCCATCTTGCAGATGATGACAAGAGGCTGAGAGAGGTTAGTCACTAGCCACCTAGCACTGTGCAAGTAAACCTTACAGGAGGATGACAGCCAACCAAGTCATTGACTCAAGAGCCTATTTTCTTCCTCACAGAAAAAAGGGCTGACCTTCTGGCAAAAGTTGAAGGTTCCAGCTACAGCACAGTATGTGCTTCATTTTTACTTTGGGCCAGTTTCAGCAACCTTACTGCGACTTAAAAAATTGGTTATTTTTAGATTCTATTCCTACTCTTTACTTCTGAATCAAAACATAAGCACCAATTGTTTCAAAATGATTAACAATATTTACTCAGTGAATGGCCACCTTCCCTCACATTTGTCAAAATTAAAATCACATAGAATTCTTAATACACTGTCACTACAAGCTAACTTCCATCCGTAAACCAAAAGTTGCTAATGTGTCCATGCAACTCTTCTTAAGAGTTTACGTTGTTCAAAATACCATGGTTAGGTGCTATGAGGTGCCAGGGCAAAACACAGGTATAAGCAAAACTTGAAACTATCCCCTCATGGAAGAAAATGTACACTAAGTACTCGTGAAAAAGAAAAGAGCAGGTGCCATGCTGCCAGAAAGCAACATATCTCACAACCAGCTGCTGTGGGATCGGGAGAGGGGCCAGTGGTGAGGCCTTACCTTCAGGCTGGGAAGACTCTTCCGACTTATCGTCATCCTCCAGCTTTTCCTCTTCATCCTCTTCGGAACCTTTCTCTGAGATAGATTTGGACCCAGCATCTATGCCGACCTCGACACCTTTCAGTTCATTTTTCGCAGAGCTGGCCTCCGCCTCACATTCCCGCTTGCTCTCCTTTCCGCTGCCGTCGGTTTCTTCTTCCTCTTCTTTGCCCTCACCTTTCTCCTTGGCAGTTGAGTTTTCAGACTCCTCCACTTTGCCTTCCGCTTGTTCCAGTACCTTCTCATCTTGAATGTGAGCAGATGACATGACTGGAGGAGTCTGGCCAAATCCAACTGCCAGTGGGTTCAAGGAAGATGTATTACCTGCTCCTCTGTTTTGAGCAAAGTTTTTATGTGCATCCAAGAAGGATAACTCAGGGTCATTGAGGATGTGATAATCTGTCCGACTGACCCCATGTTTAGCAGCACCAACCAGCAAGTCTCGGTCATGCCGTCCACACTCCCACCACTCTGGCAGATCCAAGCTTGGCTGGCAGAGCTTAAGCCTCTCTCCCAGCTGGGGGTGATGGAGAACCTGCTCGCGGATCTTCCGTAGTAGCTCAATGCGGTACAGAGTTCGAGAGGCTCGCTCCTCTGTGATCGGCTCAATTATGGAGGAGAGGTCTGGCGGTTCTGTAACACAGAAGGGCTCATATTTACTTGGGAAGAACTCAAAAGCAGTCTACATTGTACACTTTCTTATGTTTCACTTTACTGGTCTTTTCACATAGAGCTTTGTTGCTAAATGTACCTACCATCATCTGGCTTGACAGGCATTCGACATACTCGCCTACACATGGCCACAAAACAACTGAAGTATTTCTCCAAACTTTCATCAGACTTTTTGTCAAGCCTGGCAAAGGCTCGAAATTGATTCCAGTCAAATTGCTGTTTCACAGGGTCAAAAATAACCCCAAAGGTAGATACCACACGGTAAAAATCAGCCTCTTCTCTTCTTGTCCACCTGTTAGAAAGATTATATTAGCTTGCATCACACTTCAGGAAAAGACTTAATATTTACTGTTTCTTTTCCCCTTTCTCCCAGACTTTATACATGGTAGTTATTTGGGGGTGGGGAGACAGACTGCTTTGCTGGAGTGAGCCTTTCTTTGGCGGTCACTCTTTGATATGAGTCCCATCTCCTGTGGGTCTACAGGAGCAGGGCAGAAGGGAATGTACCAGGAGCTGAGTGAAACCCTGAAGAAACTCACTTTTGCCGCTTCTCAGATATAATAGCTTCCCTTTCCGCTTCCAGAGCTCTCACTTCCTCTCGAGGCCGCCGTCTGCGCCGGTCAGTCTTCATTAGGGCCTCTTGCCTCATCTGTTGCCTTTTATAGCTGCGCTGATAGGCAGTAATGAGCCGGCGCAGACGTGTAGTCAGGGTTGAAGTGTTAGGCCAGTAAAGTTGGCCTAACTCAGCATTACTCTCACTGTGCTTGCCTGCGGAAGTAGAAAAACATTTTTGAAATGTGTAGCTGAAATCTTGCAACACACAGAGTATTCCAACAAAACAGGATGACTTGTTAAGATTCAAATGACAGTGTGGGTAAGGGCATCTCAGTGCCCTCATTTTAAAAATATAAATAAGTAATAACATTTGCTTGGAACGTATACACTTATTTCTTTTTTAATTCCTTAGAGGGGGTGAAAACATTATTTATTAGTCCTACATAAAGAAACACACTTTACAGCATAAACTTCCTTATAAGGTACTCTCCTCTAATGTATGTGCAATAATCATCTTGAGTATAAAAAATAACTGCATAATTGTTGTGTAATGATTTTATTCGGTAAAAGGTCAATATTCTAAATAAACTGAAAATATTTTAGGTAAATGCAGAGCAAATTCTCTATTCCCAAGAGTTATAGTTTAGATACTTAAAATTTTTCACTAATTAGTGTAAAATATAAATCAGCTAATTATCATCAAAGAAACAGTTATCCTAGCTAAGAAATTCAATGTAATGAAAACACAACCATTAACAAGAATTAAAATGATTCACAAAACAGGTCAGTGTAGAAGAAACAAGGTGTTAAGACACTGCCATTGTGAAGCAGGACAGTCCCTACCACATGAACAATGACTGCTCAGCTGCACGAGCTTTTCTGGGGCCTTACCTGTGGCATGTATTTCCATGGATTCTTCCTTATCCTCTGGAGGAGAATTTGCAAATTCCTTGAAAGCAAAGAAACAGAATGACTTTAATTTGGGGTCTCATTTTTGTTTGTCTTTTAAAGAAAAGGTCATTATCTATAAAGTTTAACAAGTCTTATATGGGCATATAATATTTAATGGAGCTATAAAAGCCAATATACTCAAGTTCATACATCTATTTCATCTTTGAATGGTGTTCTGGTTGGTTTATATTCTGGGTCTTCATCTTCTCTATCAAATTCTCCCCTATGTAAAACAAACATAAAAATTGTTCGAATGATACTGATAAGCAAGAGAGGGAAGGGGGGGTGGGTAGGAAAGAGTAACAATCTATCCAGTGCTACTTTTAATTATGGGTTTGACATCAAAAGCAACTCTATCAGTATTTAAAACATGCAGCCGTGGCAGGGTGGTGGAGGGGGTCTGGAGAGGTCGGGGGAAATGACATTTGGAAAAGAAAAACAAGTTTCAGATTATCAAGATAATGTATATCCTTTAAACAGTCATTACAACACACAAATAGAGTAGACTGGTAAACAGCACTTGAACTTCAAATCTGACACAATACAGTGTGTAGTGCAGGGTAAGAACTGAGCGCTGCCAATAGATGTGAAACTGACATAAAGTTTATTCAAATTTTAAAATGTCCTTCTTACCCGTCACCACCATCTGCTAGCATGTCTGTTCCTCTTTGCTCGGCAGCTATGGCCTTGGCATCAGGCATACCAACTCGTTCCAGAAAGCACAGTGCGGGGTCAGCTCGCATGGAGTTGTACTTCTCATAGCCTGTGCCGTGCCCATCCGTGCACGGAAAACACACAGAAACAAAGAAAGGCCCCATCACAGGCAAAATCACAACACTGCCACAACACAAGTTTGTTTCTCAGTCAAGGTTAGCATCTATGTTGAATCTAAGTGGACCTTGTTTTAGTAGAGGATACTATGGAATGCTCCTTCTAGGGAAGGTACTGGGGGCCAAGTTACACCTCAGGGATATTTATCAGAATTACCACAAACACTAATAGAAAAACAGGTTCAGAATAACTGCAAGATGCCTGGGAGGATTTCTGAACCTATTTTCCCCCAGATCTAATTTTGCTTGACATTTAGAAGGCTTCGCAATGTTCCTTTATGACCTCTGCAGGGGTGCGCTGAGTCCACCCCCATCCACCCTGTGAATAGCATCAGTCCTGCAGGAACTCGCATGGCTGGCTGAAAAATCCCCATATACGTAAGGCCAGCGAACCTGTCTTATTAGGTTTAGGATGATGCATGTCAGTAAGATGACACTGTTCCCTCTATGGTTTTCAAACTGCAATTTGCTTTTTGACTGCCCAAGTTGACTAGATGGAAAATGGCAGATCCCAACAGTGCACTGCGGGAAAATGATTTTGAGGCTGAGCTCACAAAACGCGGCTGCAGTACATAGGCAGAACAGCACAATTCAATTAGGATGTGTACTACAACACACTGCTCCTAACTGCTGTAGAGCCGCAAGCCAAACTGTAATCATGAAAGGTTTTATAAGCCATCATTCTCCCCTTTAGTCAGGCTGGGCTGCTGAGAATACCTCCACGACCTCCAGAGAATTGGGATTATAATCAGGAATCGCTCACTGTATATATCATGCCAGTTCTGCATCCCCAGCCTTTCAAAGTTAACAAGGCTGCATCCCACTCAGGGGAGCCACGAGTTCTCAGCACTGACATTTGTGAAATATTGCTTGGAACAAAGCCCAGGAGGCACTTGTACAGATTAATAGCAGAGGTTAAGCCCACCGTCCACTTTGACACTGGTTGGCAGAGTTAGCAAGGGAAGCCATGCTGGAAGCAAAGTTTAGGGAGAGCTATAGTACAACTTGGCTATTATTAAAACAAATATGGTTTGGGTTTTATTTACAGCCAAGAAAGAAATGTTTTCTTCTCAAATGCTCAACAAACATTCAAAAACAGCATCTGATATTTACAGTTCATATTAGATTTTTAGTACAGAAAAATGGTAGACGCCAAGAGTCCTTTGGAACTATCCTCATTAATATTATGACTTTGGAAAAGAGTATGTAAAGAGTTCTAAATAAAGACCAAGCCATACAGTCGAGACGTATTCAAACAGAAACGTCACTTACCATGTTTGAACACTCCAATTAAGAGGGATTTGTCTGCTTCCTTATCCCACCAATCTGCAGGAACTTCAGCATGGAAAGGTTCAGGGATCCACACATCGGCTTCACTGAAAGACAACATTTATAAGAAATATTAGTATTAAAAAAGAATTCCAAGTAATGAATGTGATACACGGCTCACGTGCCCTCTCTCCCACAATAAACAACTGAGCATGGTGGGGAGGTATCAGCAAAGGTAAAAAGAAAGGGCATGAGTCAGTAGCCCTCTGCTATGACCAGAAAGAACTTTATCACATGGTATCCCATTTTAAGGGTCATCTCAGAACACCAGTGCTTTAGTTCGCACCTCTTTACACTACAAACATAAATACAAACAGCCTTTTCCTGATTCTCATCACATCCCCAAGCAGGAAGGACAAATACCGCATTCAAGATGCAAAAAAGGAGATGGGTTACTAGTGGTTTACGAATGTTCTGAAACACAATCCATGATGTTTTCCGGCTACCCAGATTATCTCACTGAGGTTGAGTACAAACGTGAGCTCGCACTAACCTTGAGTCAGCACCCTCTAAGATCTTATCTGCCTGGTCTCCTATCACTTCTTGTCTTAGGTAGTACAGCATGCGGACACGCAGCAGGACCCTGGAGAGGAAGACAGAGGGGGGAAAAAGTTCTTAACTTCAGGACTGTTTGCCAACAGTGGCTTTTGGCAGCTGCTGCTGTTCATCCATCATCCTGCCAAGGCTGATTAGCCATGCTGTATGGTAGGCTTGAAGCGTGACAGATGGTGGCACATAATCACCTCTGTGTGGTGCTTTCTGCTGGCTTCCAACAGGCCTGCCTGGCAACCGCTCACACTGCACAGAGAGGGCCCAAGCTCAGCCCAGCCCAGGCGCACTTCATTTAGTTCTACCTAGTGCAGCTTGTGAAGTTTAGACACGTACCCTACCATTGCCTCTGAAGTATTGAAGCAAGTTTGTAAACAACTGAGCAGATGGCTTTCAGTAACTGTTCTGCTTCATTATCTCATAAAATTTCCTCAGCTGCTGCCTTAATACCATTTTTGGAAGCACATCAGAAGTTGTAGGAATAAACGAGATATAAAATCTGGTTTTACTACCTTACAATAAACCCTCAATATGGAATGTCAGGTTTTTCAGATTATACAACTTTGCTTCCGAGAAAAGAAGATGGCGACAGGGTTGGGTAGAAGGTGTGTCCTTGCTCTTCTCCTGTATGAAATACTATGTTAGACATTTTTATTCCTTCTAGTTTTTTGTACCTGGGAACTTAAGTTGTAGTAGCTTGAAAAAAAAATTAGAAAATTAAAATGTGTCCAATTCATTGACATTCTTAATCATTCTCAAGAAATCGATTTTTTAAAATGCTTGGAATTCTAGGAACTAGATTTTCAATCCTGCTTGGAGTTCCTCAATGGCTAAAACATAATTCTTTCAAGAAAGTCCACCTGGTAAGTCCCAAAAGCCAGTGTCTACCAAAGCTAGTATCCCCTGCTGGACAGCCCTGGTGTGCATTGGGGACTGACAGGTGAATCGTGGCCTTCTTGGCCATGAGTACATGATAATACAAATGTTATTTCCCCAGCTGAGTAATCCCATCATGTACTTGTACAGCACTTTACAACCAATGTCTCACACTTACACTAGCCCTTTTGATCTTCACAACAACCCTATGATGAAGCAGGGCAAGTTATAATTTCCACTTTCAAATGGGAAAACTGATGGTAGCAGAAGATAAGTGACAAATCCAAGGCCACAGAGTTACCTTGCACGTGGGACAATTGGAACTAGGTCTTCAGGCTCTACTACACCACGCTGTTTTCAGGGTGTGGAAACTGTCCCTAAAACTTCAAAATAACAACTAGGATTCACCACAACAGACAACTCCCGATCACACATCAACAGATGCTCCCCAATAGGCCTTCCCCCAACCACGAGCCTACTCATGGCCAGCATGGGCTCTGGATAGGTCAAGCATGAGCTTGTAAATCCCTGAAGAGACTCACTTTGGATAACTCATTTCTATGTCTTTAGATTTTTTTTCTCTTGTGAACTCATGAGATTAAACATTAACTGTGCCATACTGAACAGACATTTTCTAAGAGTGTGAGTGGGGTAGGATTTTAGGAAGCACTTTTATGCCACAGCAGTAACCACCAAGTTTCTGAGATACCAAAAGGGTTGGAGGTAATGGTTCTGAAGATGCCTTGGAGCCTCACCACAGCTCTGAGGAGCAGAGAAGACTTCCGAGCTGAGGCTGCCCTCATCTACTTGGGTTCAAACCTGGTTCTGCCCCTTAACTGGCTGAGGGTCCTTGAGGAGGTTACTCAACTTTAGTCTCAGTTTCCTTGTCAGTTAAATGGGGATAAAAGTCATACTAATCTTAGACAACTCAAACAGATAAGCCATACAAAGCGCTTGGCACGCTGCCAGTATTATGTGCTCAGACTTTGTTGCTGCTACTTTTACAAAGAGAAATGCATACTTATTTACATCCTGCCTCATCCAGCTGAGATCTTGCTGCCGAGGTCTACTGGACTCACCAGGAAAGTGAGTCCTCAAGAGGCTGAATAACTTGCTCAAGGTCACACGAAGCTAGGACATAGAGCTGATCAGTAGCATTGTTGCCTGAACTAGTGATATGGAAAAACGCATATTCAGAATAAGGAAACAACATATGCAGATGTTAGTTTAATAGGAACTGTTAACAGAACTCCAAGCAATGAAATAAATTTAGGTTCAATATTCTTCAATTATCTATAATCAGTTTTTGGAAATAAAGGTAAGAAATATGATTCTAAGCTCATAGGCAGAAAAAATGGACCCAGCAACTGAGGTAATATTAAGCAAAAAATAATACATGAACTCCCCAGTCCTCCCTCCACTGTACGCAGTTAGTTGAAGGTGGGATCATACAACGCTGACTACAATTATCTAACAGATACTGGTTAAAAACCAGTCCTCTACAATGTTCATAGCACCATTATTCACAACAGCCATGATAACCAGCCCAAGTGTCTGTCAACAGATGACTGGGACAAACGAAACGTGGCATATACACACAATGGAATACTATTCAGCCATAAACAGGAATGAAATTCTGATACCGTAACACAAATGAACCTTGAAAATATTAAGTGAAGTAAGCCAGGCACAGAAGGACAAATAATCTGTGATTCCCCTTAGGAGACATATAGGACAGACAAACTAATAGAAACAGAAAATAGAATGGTGATTGCCAGGGGCCAGGCAAGTTACTGTTTAATTGATACAGTATTTACATTTGGGATGATGGAAACATTTCAGGTACAGTATTTTGAGTGTAAATAATGCCAATGGATTGATCACTTATAAACGGTAAAAATGGTAAATGTTGTGTTGTGTATCTTACCATGTTAAAAAATAATCAGTCACCTAAACGTATGCTCTCCTGTAACTTGACACCACATTTCAAGAAAAATGGTAAGGCTGTGCAAAGGCAACAACTACACCATTTAAAAGTCTTAATAACAGAGCTGTCCCTCCATATCCACAGGAGTATGGTTCCAGGACACCCCTCAGACACCAAGATCCGCAGATGCTCAGGTCCCTCAGTTGGCCCTCCAAATCTGCGAGTTCTGCATCTGCAGACGTGAAGGGCCGACTGCATGCATTTTTTAAAGAATAAAAAGGGAATTAAACTCTCCAGGTCCACCCTCTAATAACATACTTGTTACAGTGATGCTTCAGGTGTTTCTTGTAGCTGTCCTCCTGGAACAGGGCATCTGGGTTGCAGCTGGCCAGCCAGTCGGCATCCTGCACCACCGGCTGTGTGCTCTGGGCTTTCACCTTCTTTCCCTTCCTTCCCCTTGGCACAGGGGCTGATAAACCTAGAATCACCATAATAATAATAATAGAAGCCTTTTACATTCCAATTATAGTGTCAATGGCAGAGAGGCAGGGAATGCACGAGGCAGGGAAATATAGGGTGTATGTCACATCTCTTTATCAACAGTGTGTCACGAAGGATCCTGATGGCTTTGTGACCTTGTAGCACAAACAACATGGCAGAAACCTACCAGAATGGTTGACCAAGGCTCGAGTCTGGCCATCCGCTGTGGGTGTGATCAGATCCCAGATGAAGCTTTTGATATTCTCATCGCCTTTGTAATGATTAAGACAGTATACCAGGATGGTTCTGCAGATAGTTTCGACATCTTGCTCAGTGAGCTGGCGTTTATAGCGTCCGTGGGAAAGAATGTCTGTCCACCGTCCCCAACTGCAAAGCAAATATTCAGCATGCAGAGGTCTCTGTGAGTTTTGATTTACGGCTTTACTTTAACAGTCAGGTAGCAGTGTTGGGAAATCCTGGGTCAAAACTAGCAACAATTCACGCTGGATGACAGGAAAGCAATCCAGGGTGCAAGAGTTAAAAATACTCCCTTACACAGCAAGCTGCCCCTCAGTTCACTGCTCCTAAGCACAGGAGTTGAACTGCCACAAGAATAACCCCCACAAAGCTAACCTTGGCTTTTCCAGGTACATGCAGGCTGCAACAGTGCAATTTTCAGGACATGAGTTCAACCGAGGGCCTGGAAATTATGGACTTTGCTTCATACTGTCATGATTAGTACATTTTGATGTTGACCAACCATCTGAGATAAAAGGCAACTCAAGATAAAAGGTGTGACTACCCCAAAATCAAGGATGTGATGCTGAGCAGTATATGGCTGCATCGACCCACCTCTAAGGGGATGCCACAGTCACTGGTGAAAGGTTCTGGAAAGTTCTGAGGTTCCTTTTGAAACGGGGAGTAATAACCCCAAGCATAAGAACCCTCACAGGCAAGATGTTCTGCCAACCCTCAGATCCTCATGAGAAATGAGTGGGAGAAAGGGCTACGGACAGAAAACAGAAGCAAACAGACAACATGCCATGGGGCCTGACTGCCTGTTTCGTGTTATAATCCCAGACTAAACAGTGCTGTGCTGTTTCATCTGGGAGCTGTGGGGTAAGACCACACAACAAATAGGTACGGGGGCAGGCAGCAGTAGGTGCTGTCTGAGCCATGTCTTCTCCCAGGCCACAGCAGACTGAGCCACCAAGGCAGTGCTCATGGTATGAACAGCCCCTCCGCTGCAGACTGAGAGTTGTGTCTGGAGCACAGAGCAGCTCACATCCTCCCTCAGGCCCTGCTTCTCACCCTGACTTGGTCTCTTGTCACTCCCTGGTCCTCTCTGGCTCCTGTGAACTTCTTGAAGTTTCTCCAACCACAAGGCTAGCTCTCACTGATGGCCTTGGAACACACTGCTCTGTCTGCTGGGATCTTACTTCCCTTCCCTACCCAAATCCCAGCACTCCCTCTTACCCTGGCTGATTTGTGATATCCACCAAGTCACAGGCTGTGTGACTTTTTGTGGAATTCCTCCTTTCACTCCTCCTAACCCCAGAGGTGGGGAGACAACACTGGAGCTGTGTCTTAACAGTGAGCTGACAGGCTCTATGCTCCACAGCAGAGTGCTTCCTTGTCACAGTCTGCACCACTTCTGCTTGCTCACCTGCCTGCCTAAGCCATGACTGTTTTGCTCAGAGCTCCACCCCAAGTGACTGAGAGGATCCTAGACAGTGACCAGCACATAGGTGTTCAGTACATAGTGACGACTATGGGAAGAGGGAAGGACCTGACTGAAAGACAATCTGTGCTAAGCACACTTCTTAGCTGTAGGAGTTATTTATGTGTTCCATTCCTAAAGTTACCCACAGAACTCTCAAATCGGATGACTGTGCTGAAACATGGCAGCAGGTGAGGGTAGCAAAAGGCTTTTGGGGGGCAGGGTGTGAGTCTCTGCCCCATGTAAGAAGAGACAAGAGAGGATGCCCAGCTTGCACAGATAATGAGGATGGACTTCTGATGAACAAGCATTTATCAGCACTATGTGTCTGCTCACACTGCACTACGCACTGAGGGCACAAAGAAGGAGCCTCCATCCTCAAGGAGCTGCAAACAGAATCTAGCAAAAGAGGGAGGTGACTCAAAAATCGTAAACAACATGATGAGTGTGATGGGAAGTATAGGCCAGACTCGGTTGCAGAGCACAAGCTGATGCCTGCATCGGACACCCACAGAGAGCAGAAGGGAGGCAGGTCACCTCCCAGTGGAGGTGCACGTGGGGGGTCCTCTAGGCAGTGGGAAGAGCTTGTGCAAAGACACAGATGAGATGGAGCGTGGCACATTGAAGGAGATGAAGCCGTCTGTCCTAACAGAAGCTTGTACTGCCCATGGGAAAGAACCAACAGAAGACAAGGGCCTAGAAGAGCTCTGGATGCCATGTCAGCATATGTTTGTGTTTACTCTGAAACTAATGGTAATCCATTGGAAGAAATCATCCAAGACAGGACGTCATCAGATCTGTAGAAAGGTTACTCTAGTAGCAGTTTTTTTGTTTTGTTTTGTTTTTTTTAACAGGAGTTGCCTATAGTCCCACAATCTGTTAGAGAACTCTTATTGACCGATTCAGATATTTACTGAGCACCCTGCCATTTGAAGTACTGCTTCGGGCGCCACAGTGATTCAGAGATAAATTAGACATGGATCCTGCCTTTCAGAAACTTGTAGTCCAGCAGGAAAAATACAACACTTTCACAAAGTTCAAATGACCATTCATGGTTCACATGAGTTGCAAGGAAGAATTTAACAAGTGAGATTATTGCCTTTGACAATTTTTTATAAGAGAAATATTAAAAGCTTACGACAGTCAAAAATTTTATGCAAAGCTTGTAAAGTGAGAAAAGATTTTGCAATTTTGACACTTTGTTCTTATTAATAATCAACATGTAAATCTGGATCTGGCATAATTCCTTAAGGTACACACAAGCACCCTAACTTCAGGTGACCTCTGAATCCAGAAGCATCTGAACAACTTAGATTATGTTAACCAAATGGCTCCAAAGCCCTGTAAAGTTACTGCAGAAGCATTCATTTGACTGTGCAAAGGGGTGTCACACAAATTCGAACACAAATATAGCTCTATACCAGTTGGGAATTCTAACTATCGTTAGAACAAAATTCCATCTTACGTAGTGAGTCCTACTTACCCATAGACAAGCAGATTCTTCTCCACCCTGAAACACTCACTCCTTGCATAGCCCTGTGACTTATCCTGGGGGCGCCGTGGCTTTGCGCAGGGCTTTTCTTCAGAATCACTTTCCAAGTCTGAGAACTCCATCAGCTCATCTTCCTTCACTGCACTGTAGAGCCTGGTCTGCTTTCTCACTCTTGGAGTATCAATAACCAGGTTGTTCTAACAAAAGAGGAGATACATTTGAAATTTCTGAAAGAGTGGCTCTTGGTTTAGATCAGATAGGTGTTTGAATGGGACTTCTTACTCACCCTCCCATTTAAGGCATCAATATCCAATTCAGCCTTCTTAGCCCACTTTTGCCAGAAATTTGGATCATCCAAGGAAATATCTGTCCTATTTCCAGATGCAACAAAACTGGCCTACAGAGAAAAAAGAAACACATTACTTTGAGAGGTTTTTCTCAGAAGTAGAATGTAAAGCAGCTTTTGTTTATTCATTTGCTCCAATATTGTGCGTTCCTCTACTTGTGCTAGACACTACAGTAGATGGGACTAGAATGACAGACGGGCCCTCAGGCAACTGACTGACCAGGAGCTGAGACCAAACCAAAGAATTACACTGCAGCATGATAAATGACAGGGAGCAAAGGTATAGACCAGTGCAAGTGATATACAGAGGAGGGGCCCCTAACCTGGTTCAGGCAGGGCATTGCTGGAAACTGAGAAGAAAAGGCTCTCCCATAAAATGATGCCTGAACCATTTTAAAACATTCATAAAACAGGAAAGCATGTGGACATGTTCACAGCAGAGCATGTGCCATGGCACAGAGGAGAGTAAAGGGGAAAAGGGTAGTCAGGGAAGAAGAGCCAGAGGTCGAGCTGGTGAGGGAGAGGGAAGCTAGGTGAAGCAGTGTCTTCTATGTGTTGTTAACAGAGTTTGAACTCTATCCCGAGGGAACCAGGGACTATTTGAAACTGGGAATAATCTCATTATGGACACAATCATATCTAGAGTCACAAGTTGGAAAGGTCATACCAATGCTTGGAGCATGGAGGTCAGAACACAGCAGAAGAGGCCACTGTAATAATTTACAGAAGAAATAACAAAATGGAGAAAAGAAGGTGGTTTAGAAACATATTCTTTAGGCCAGGCGTGGTGGCTCACGCCTATAATCCCAGCACTTTGGGAGGTCAAGGTGGGCAGATGGTTTGAGGTCAGGAGTTTGAGACCATCCTGGCTAACATGGTGAAACCCTGTCTCTACTAAAAATGCAAAAATTAGCCAGGCATGGTGGTGCACGCCTGTAATGCCAGGTACTCGGGAAGCTGAGGCAAGAGAATCACTTGAACCCAGGAGGAAGAGGTTACAGTGAGTCAAGATTGCGCCACTGCACTCCCACTGCACTCCCACAAAGCAAGACTCTGTCAAAAAATAAAATAAAATAAAAACAAAAAAAATTTTAAAAAAAGAAACATATTCTTTAAAAGGTAAAATTCTTGGGAAGCTGAAGGTGGAAGGTGACTTGAGCCATGTGTTCAAGTCTAGCCTGGGCAACACAGTGAGACATCATCCCTAAAAATAAAAAAGGCAAAATTAATAGAGTCAGAATCTGGGTGTATGTGAAATATGAAAGAGGAAGCCAGGAAAAACCTCAGCATCCATTTCAGGCATCTGAATGATGTCAGTCAGGTGGACAAACAGAGATGGTGGTAGGGGGAGAGACAGGGATGGTAAATTTGGCTGTGAGCTCTGAGAAAATAATCTGACATAAAGCTGAAAGATGTAAGGGAGAAGATGTGGGTCTCAAAGCCCACAGGAGAAGAGCCTTTCCAGATTGGAGGAGCTGGGATAACTGGACAGCCACATGCGAAAGGAAGGTTGGACCCCTACCTCATACCATACACAAAACTCTATTCAAATGGAATCACAGACCAAAATGTAAGAGTTAAAAACTACGAATCTTGGAATCTAAGTTACGCTAGTGAATAACATTATGCTAACTGAATGAAGCCAGACACAAAAGATCATATACCACATGATTCCATTTATATGAACTGACCACTGTCCAGAGTAGGCAAATCTGTAGAAAACATAAATCTCTGTGAGCTTGGGTTTGACAATGCACTAAAACACAAGCGATAAAAGAAAAAGATGGTAAACTGGGCTTCATTAAAATTACACGCTATTAAGAAAAGAGTAGGAGAAAATATCTGCAATCATATTAATACAGAACTTTCATACAGAACATATTTTAAGTCTGAAATATTAATAACAAGAAACTCAAAAAATGAACAAAGAACTTGAATAGAATTTTTTCCAGAGATGATCTACATCTGGCCAATAAGCACATGAAAAGATGCTCAATATCATCAGAGAAATGCAAATAAAAACAAGAGTGGGATATGACCTCACACCCATTAGAACGGCAAAAACTAAAAACTCAGATAATAAAAAGTATTGGGGAGGATATGGAGTTCCATTTCCTCCATATCCTCATCTATACTTCTTACTATTTGACTTGGAAAGAAAATAGTACAGTCACTTTAGAAAACAGTCTGGCAGTTCCTCAAAGGGTCAAACATGAAGTTAACATAGGACCCGGCAATTCTACTCCTGGTATATACTCAAGAAAAATGAAAACAAGTCTATATAAAAACTTGTACACAAATATCCATAACAACATTCTTCATAATAACCAACAGTAAAAACAACCCAGATGTCCATTATCAACAAATAAATGTGGTATACCCATAAAATGGAATACTGTTCAGCAATAAAAATGAATTACTGATTCATACTACAATATGGATGAACCTGAAAAACATTATGCTAAGCGAATGAAGTCAGACACAAAAGATCATACATCATATGATTCCATTTATGTTAACTGTCCACTGTCCAGAGAAGGCAAATCTGTAGAAAAATAAAGTAGATTCATGCTTTCCAGATATGGGAGACTAGTACGGATAGGAATAGGGAATGACTGCTAATGAGCATAAGGACCTTTCTGGGGTAATGGAAATGTTTCAAACTTAGATTGTGGTAGTATGTGCTCACGTCTGTAATATGGTAAAGGCACTGAATTGTACACTTAAGACAGGTTAACTGTATAGTCAGTTAATTACATTTCAGTAAAGCTGTTAAAAATAAAAGTACAGAGTGGGCCTTAGTGAGATGGCTAGAACAAAATGCAGGCAAAACCTCAGAAGGGGCTCTCAGGTGGAACCATTGGATGTACTCAGTGGTGACCCTGGCCAGAGCAGCTCTGATAGAGAGGCAGGGAACGGGTGCAAGCTGGAAGCTGAAAAAGCTGAAAAATAAGTAGAAAGGGAGACAGTAGAGACAGCTGGAGTAGATTACGTTTGTGTGGATTTTAGCTCTGAAAAGAGTTTATGTATGGAGACAGAGTTAAAGGGGAAAATAGTGGACAGGTGTTTTTAAAGGAGTGAGTTGATCATTCTTACAGGCTGTTTCAGAAACCAGAATCTGGGGAGAGAAGGAAGATGCCAATGGAGCAGGATCTCAGAAGTGGAGAGGATGGAGTCAAGAACACAACTGAGGGATTAGCCTCAGGAGCTGGGAAGTAGATACAAGGATGACAAGGTGAGGGCAAATACCAGTGGCAGGTACACAGAAGAGAAACCAAAGCATAAAGAAAGCTTCATGTGCCAGGGGTTCCACAGGGAGTTAATGATTAATTTGATTAATTCCCAATGCATCTTGTAAGCACTTTTACAAGGTACTTTTCACATGAACTCTGTTATGTTTCTATGGAAAACCTGGCCTCTTCAGATCGATTCACACCTTAGCAAACGTGGAACCTTTCCCTTCCGACTCAATGGTAATGGTGTGGGTTCGACGTAGGAGGATCTGATCAATATCTTCTTCACAGAATTTAGACCCTTCATCCTCCTCATCCATGAGTGCACCATAGGCCCCTTTTCGTAGAAGATCCTCTATTTCTTTCTTGGAAAGCTGTTGTACCTGTTTTAGAGAAATATTTAAAATACTCAAAATAATTTAGAATTAAAAGATTTGTAGACTAAACAAATGCCGCATTTTTCTCAAAGAGAGTAAACCTAAATTATAACAAAGGAAAGTGTTACAAAAATACACTTAAAATATTGAGGTCAAAAAATAATCAAAAGCTGAGTAATTTTTTATAATTAGTTAAATAAAGAAAAGTGCCAGAATAAATGAATGGTTTGGGCAAGGGTGGTTTTACCCCATTGGTAGCATTTTCTCTTCCACTCATAGACTGTAGCACAGCTTTATCCAGCCCCAGCTTCAAACTAGCCTTGTCAAACATTTCCCTTTCATAGGAATTTCTTGTAATCAGCCTGTAGATTTTCACAGATTTGCTCTGTCCTATTCTATGACATCTAGCCTGAGCCTGGAAGAAAAATGAAATTAATAGTTACTGCAATGAACTGAATGTTTGTGTCTCCCCACCAAATTCATATGCTGAAACCCTCATTCCAATTGTGATGATATTTGGAGGTGGAGCCTTAGGGAAGTAATTAGGTCATGAGGGTGGAGTCCTCACGAACGGGATTAGTGTTCATATAAAGAGACAAGAGAGCTGGCTCTCATTAAGCTGGGTGAGGACACAGCAAGATGATGACTGTCCGTAAACCAGGAAGAGGGCCCTCACCAAGAACCTGACTCTGCTGGCACTCTGGTCTTGGACCTCCAACCTCCAGAACTGTGAGAAATAAATGTCTGCTGTTTAAGCCAACCAATTTATGGCATTTTGTTAAGGAGACCTGAGCTAAGACGGCTACCAACGAATGACAAGACTCAACTGCCAGTTATAAGACCCTATCTATGTGCCAATAAATAGAGGTGCCATTTAGAAGAAGGTTAAAACTAAAAAGTTTCTTCTCACATTATTAATCAATAAGTTACTAGTTGGTTACTTGCTCTGAGTCATAGGACACAGCCTGAGTGACAACGCAACATTAATTTATGGGTCTGACTGGGACTCTCTGTCATAGTAAGCAGAATGACTTCTTTTTTAAAGGCATCAGGACTTTCTTGTGCATTTACCTGGAGGTCATTTTGGGGATTCCAGTCTGAATCAAAGATGATGCAGGTATCAGCAGCAGTGAGGTTAATGCCTAAACCTCCTGCCCTTGTACACAGGAGGAAAACAAACCTATCAGAATCAGGTTTGGAGAATCTGTCGATAGCCGCCTGGCGGAGGTTGCCTCTTACTCGGCCGTCAATCCTTTCATATGGGTACCTAGAAATCATCAGTGTGAACAAGGAGGCCTGACACACAGCGACAACATACTTGCTCCTTTTTTAAAATTTTTATTACAATATGGAATATATATTTAAAAGACTAATATGACTTAACAGAGCTAATCTCAGAGCAAACAGGGTTTATTGGAGTTTTTTATATAATTGATTGAATGATCAACGATTAAATTTTATTTTACTTCCTCTCCAGGGAAATAGCTAAATTCTAAAAACAGCTGACACCTATAACAGTAAGATAACAAATAATTTCAATTTTAAGTAAGAAATATTCTCCCTTACTCAAATAAAGGCAATGGGGAAATAAAATTGCCTAAAAAAGTATGCAATGTCCTCCTGTAGTCATCATATAAAATAATCATGTACATCTATAGTTTTAAAAATGACATGTGATACATTTTCCCCATTCTATCCCCTTTATCATAGATACCACTTTTAGTGGACTGCTTGGAACCCTGTGAAGGTAATTTTAGATTTCCTTTTTATTATTCTGATATGGTGGCCCTCACCGTCTTTGAATGAGGTAGTCTTCCAGTATGTCCAAGCAGCGCACCATCTGGGAAAAGATAAGCACCCTGTGGCCACCAGCCTTCAGTTTTGGCAGCAGCTTGTCAATCAGCACTAGCTTGCCAGCAGCCTGGATCATTGCCTGGAGCTGAAAATCTGGAGACTCTGCATTGTGTGTTTCTTTAAACTCTTCCAAAATTTTCTCTTCAGCACCTGCAGAGATTGGACAGCATAACGTGAATACTGTAAAAGGTTTTTATTACTAAAAACAATGAACTTGCTTTCAAAACCCATTGCAAACTGTAGGAACCAGAACACCAAACTCCTGCTTATGAACAAGAATCCATCCCCTTACTCATACTTGGGTCTATACAAAACTGTGGATGCACAAAAGGGATAAAAGTTTTAAGCATGACACATTGAGGCATTTAGGGGGAAAACCACATTTTTCAACAAACAAATGTTTGCTGTCTGTAAAAACGGAATTTCAACAACAGACTGTCAAGCCAGAAGTGGCAGAAACAAGCCAAGGGCCAGATACCTACAAAAAATTTGGAACCTAAATTGCTAAAGAAATGAAGAAATGTTTACTAGCTGAACATAAACACAAACAACAAAATCTGTTCCGAAATGAAAAAACAAAGGAATAGAGTCCTAACAATTACAGCGTAAGAGCAGTAGTAGTTTGGGTCTACAATTGCATATTAATATAGGCAAAGGAACTACAAAAAGAGGAATTTACTTCCAGGATAATTTCTTGGAATATCTGTTGGGGACCTAAGCATACATCTACTGTAATCTCTAAATCTCCCTCCACATTCATTCTCATCTGGTAATTTTTCCTAAGATACAAAATTCTATCTTGAACTATCCAAACCTTTTAAAATTAAAAACAAATAAACTTTTAAGTGTTTGACACAAGACTTCTATGCTTACACCCTTCTTTTCTCCCTCATAGCCCCACATGGATTTTTGCTGGTCCAAAGACTTGGGTACATTGGCAAGAGGCCTCAAGAAGATGACATCTTCCTAAGGAAAGATGCCCCACCACATCCCTGCCTGACACACGCTTATTCAGGAAGCAGCAGGCTAAGCTTCCTTCAACTGCTTAGGTGGCTTAACTAGAATTACACAGCATTGGTCTGGCCTCCTCTTGCCTCTGGGGTTAATGAGGACATAGCTGTTGTGTTCAGCTCCTTTCTCTGAGGGTGGAGGATGTGTTCAACTATTCTTTAGAAAATACACACACACACATTCATCTTAATGGGATTGTCTCCTGGACTTTAATTGTGCCAGAAACTTAAAACTACCTTCCTACCACTAGTTTTTAACATGTGAACTAACTATACACAAGATGGGGATATATAAATCTCACAGAGGCTTTAAAGGTTGGGTTAGTGGGACAGGCCACCACAGCCTCTCACATGGTACTGCTGCAACAAGCACAGATGTAACAAAAGTGCAATCCTATCTGTACTTTAAGGTTGTATGTAGAAATTACCTTATGGCACGGTCAAATGCAGAAATACAGCTTGTTAATTATTAATCAACAAATAATTTACTGAGAACAGATTAAAGTCACTTAATGTCTTCCCAAGCACTAAGGCCTTCCACAAAATACACTGACTTCCTATGAAGGGGGCCTGGTCCTCACACCTTTTTTAAAGTGAATGAAAAGGTAATATTCACAATTTTTCTTTATGGAAAATAAATGTAAGAGTAAAGAGCAAAATGCTGTTTAAGAGCATTAGCAAGAATGTTCTTGAATAAAGTTAAATATTTTTTAAAACATGAAATTTAGAAACCCAGGTTCTAGATTCAGGACAAGCCCCTCAAGAGACAGGGGAAACAGATTTAAGTGCACATGTTACATTAGGTCTCTTTCGAGTGTGTTCTTGTACAATATACCATAAGCTCTGAAATTCAGAAATAAATTTTACTCTTACGTTATCTGGTCAACTATGTTTTGTCCATACTAAGTTAAAATCCACAATAATATAAATATAGTATTTTAGCCATTTAAAACAAATTAATGGCCAATGAATATTTTTCAAAAAGAAAATAATCATTTTGACAAAATAAACATCAGATATGTTTGAGTTTCAGTTAAAAATTTTTTAATATAAATAATTCGGTCAAATTTGCAGAGAAATTTAATTTTAAATTTATTCAGAGAGTAAAAAAATAATTTTTGCCTTTTTTATACCACCAAAAAGAATAGTCCAAAAAAAAAATCCATTCTTTCTTACCTGACAAAAGCTACTGCTGAATTAATTAATTCAGCTCTTTGTTATGAATTCAGGTTCTTACAACTGGCAGCCAGTTTATACTAATAATATTTCATTCAAAAATAGTATCAGCAAACATCTTTCCTATACGATTGTCTTGACATTTTATTGTCGCAACATTGAAGGAAAGAGGGTGGGAAGAGTGTTGCGGAGGAAGGCAACTGCTACCTTCTGACATCATAGCTAAATTTTCAAGATTACCAATTAACGTTTGATACCCAATTTATAAACATCAATCCAAAAATTAACTGGAAATGGGTTATGACAACCCAAAACACTTTGTTGGTTCCATCCTAAATTAATGTACGGCTGGTACTACATTGGAAAGTGTGTATATCAAAGACAACTTGAAACAAGTGTGCACTCACTTACAGCTTGAAGTCTTTTCACTTCAACAGATGGTCACTGTCGGGACAGTAACTGCAATGTCCTCTAGCTATATAAAAGCCACGAACAAACAAGAAAATATTTTGTTCTTGACGATTACCAGAAAAAAACAAGTTACTATTTTCTCTCTGAAATTCACTCCATCACGTAAGCCTCATTCTTGTTTTCTTTTTGCCCACTCTTCTCTACACGCCCCCTGCCTCAAACAATAACCAGCAATGACTCTTAAGTCAGCTCTAACCAGCAGGGTACCTTGGACATGTTTTCAACATTATTCTTAACTTCACATTACAAAACCGAGAAATTGGAAATTCCATTGAAATAAAGCTTGGGCCAATAATAGTAACTCCATTTATGTCACTCAGTTAGTTACCTTCACTTGTTTAACTTTCTTGCTTAACTTTTTAGCAAGAAAACAACTAGCAGAAGACCTAGAGTGTGCCAGACACTGTTCCAAGCATTGAAGTAAAAATATTAAGGGTCACATTAAAAATATTGTCTCATTTATATATAGTTTGTGTTCTACCAACACTTCTAAACTTTTTTCCTTGTGCTGTGCTTATGTTACTTTCAACTCATACATATAAAATTGCTTCTATTTTTCATAATCCTGGAAATGTGTTTTGTTGAAAGTTGACTGAGGCTTCTTTGCTCTGCCACAACCCATTCAAATTTCAGTGTAATCTCCCAAATTAAAGAATTTCCTTTTAAATGCTGGATATATGTTTTTACTCCAGACTGTGGATGAAAATGAACAGTACTGGCCCCGGAGCAACTTCTACACAATACGATGTCTACGTAAGTTATCTGGGCAACTGCGTGCGCTTAGTTTGTAGGTTATCTATACTTTTTCACCCTAACTTCCCCAAATTTAGGAACAAGGACACCTGCTTAACAGACACTTCTTGTCAGGACAGAAAAGCTGACCTCAAGGTGTGACCAATTAGGACAACTGCCACAGATGCCAAGCCTTAGGGAGTCCTAAGGGGCTCCTGGTGAACAAATATGCTATAGAGAATGACCCTGGAAAGCAATCAGCAGAGGAAGAGACACACCAGCTGTGTTTTGGGGGAAAACAACCCACAATGTTCAATGCATATAATTAACATATGACCAAACAGGGTAAACTTGCTGGAACTGGGGGTGGCAATCTAACTACCATTGCTGAGATCTCCCCTTTCACACACATCCTGCTGGTAGCATTCAGACTCTTTTGTATCTCCTTTTCTTTTCTTTCCCCTTGGAGCCTATTATTTCTTTTCTTTTGTACCAGCTATTAAATGCAAACGCGTGTATGTGCACAGTGCATGCACACACGTGTCCTCATCTCGCTCCATCAGTTGCCCTAAGCTCTGTCTTGCCAACTCACGACCTGGCTAGTTAACACTCACCATAACAGTTGTACAAGCTCCTAAACATACTGTGATTAGCAGGTTGGCAGTATCAGATACATAATCATCACACAGGATACTCTCTTTAGAAGACAAAACTAAAAGCACAAAAAGAAATTCACTGGCTGGGCACGGTGGCTCACATCTGTATTCCCAGCACTTTGGGAGGCTGAGGTAGGCAGATCACTTGAGCTCAGGAGTTCGCTACCAGCCTGAGCAACACGGAGAAACCCCGTCTCTACAAAAAATAAAAAAAAATATTAGCTGCACGTTGTGGCACATGCCTGTAGTCCCAGCTACTCGGGAGGCTGAGGTGGGAGGGATGCTTGAGCCTGGGAGGTCAAGGCTGCAGTGAGCTGAGATCATGCCTCTGCACTACAGCCTGGGTGCCAGAGTGAGACCCTATTCAAGAGAAAAAAATGTGTATATATGTGTGTGTGTGTGTGTGTATATATATACACATACACACACATATATATATATAAATTCACTGATTCGTCGCACCACACCAACAATCCCAGGTGCAACCCTCTGAGACTGTCTTCCAGGCGTGGACTACTCTGTCCATTAGAAATGGAGACTTCTGAATCTGGGGTCTGATGAGTTATAAGTTATTAAAAGGGGAAAGATTAGAAATTCTTTAAATTAGCTCTCCTTGAACCTCATAAACTGTGATAAAGACAGACCAGGTTGTGCTCCCTCTTCCTTGGAAAGGCATCTAATTGCACTGCTGGCCAACTATCATCGTGTACAAGTCTCCCAAATTAGCCTGCCCCCACCTTTCTTTAACCCACATTAACTTCTGCCCAGAATACAATAGCCTCTGAGCTGGTCCTTCTGCTTGTCTGTCTTTCCTCCTCCCATCCTTTTTATGCAATGTTGCCTGACGCATCACCCTGAATCATATTTCTTATCAATGCTCAGCTCAAACACTAGTTGTGGTTCTTCACTGCCTGCAGAGGAAAGCGGAGGTTCCATGCACTTGCCTTTAAGGAATTCTGCAGTAGGGTCCAAGCCATGACTAAGGTGCATTTCTTATGTGTGCCTTTTACTTTGGGCAAGTTCCTCATTGTTTTCCTGATCCCCTCTCTTTGCTTGTATCATTACTTCAGCCTAAACATCCTTTCTTTTTCTAACTCTCCTGGGAAAATCCTTTCTACCCCTGCAGACTTGCCTTAAAAGGCCATCTCCTTCTAAAGACTCCCCCAATCTCAATCTCTCAGCTAATTGAAGACTGCTTGTGGCGAATGCTCCCTTCTTATTTACCTTTGTATTCTCCAGAGTATCTTATACAACATAAGCATGAAATATTTATCACCTTAATGATTTCCAAAAATGCATAATAAAGGTTTTAAGCCATGAGTTATATAACACTATCAATTTAGTTAAGAAAAGAGGAGGCCCATAAATTATCAAAGCTTTAAGTTAATCTTTTTGTTCTCAGAGGACAGAGGTGCTAGATGACTCTAGACTGAGAGGAAGATGAGGACATTTTCTATCAAAGGCTTGAGACAGCTGTTAGCTGTCTGCCCACACCTAAGTTCCTCTTTAACATCTCTGATTTAAATACACACACCCCAAGAAAACCTCCATTAGGGGTTAATTTCTCTTTGGCTGTTAGCACTTCAGATGACTTCTAGCCATGGAAAACTAATGCCTCTTTTCAAGCACAGGGAGGTAGGAGAAAGGCAAAGTGAGATTCCATTTTAGCGATTGCTGGGGCAATGGTCACTCGCCTTCAGCAAACACAGAAGGAGGCATCACAGAAAGTGGGAAGCTGGTGAAATCCATGCTGAGTGGACAGGAGACAGGAATGACTATATACCATGAAATCCTCAGTCTGGGGGCAGAAAAGGATTTCTGGGCTTCAACCGTCACTTAAGCAAGTTTGTGAGCAGAGCAGGCTTACCATTAATAAGGTACGGATGATTGCAGCACTTCCGCAATTCCATCATAGTGTTTAACAGGTTAGGTACGTTAGCTTGCCCACCGCCTTTGGAAAGAAATGTGAAATTCTTCTCAAGGATGGCTCGGTAATATTTCTTCTGAATATTTGTTAGCTCAACTTCAATAATAGTTTCTTCTTTGGGGGCCAAGTTCTTTTCTACATCCTCTTTGAGACGTCTCAACATCATTGGCTTTAGAATAGCTTGAAGTTTTTGCACCTAAAAAAGGACCTTAAGTAAATACTTGTGTCATGATTTGATGGTAAGTTAAAACATATTCTAACATGAAACATCAGGATTATCTCATTCATTAACCATCCATTTTCATTTTTCAAAGCCCAGTGAGAGAATGAAGGAGCTCATCTTTCAGCTTTCATAAGAGCAGCGCACGAAGGTTGGATGATTCTATGTCAAATGAACTATTTCATCCATCCAGGAGCCCTGAACAGCCAGAAGGCTTGAAAAGTACCCAGCAGAAATCCAACATATTCATGTAGCTTTCCCTTCTGTTTGCTCTAAGCCATAGGGAAGATAGAGAAGAGCGACAAGACAGTGTCATGGCAATGCTCTGTTTCTATTCTCTTCCTTTCTAGGCAGAGCTAAAGAATGAGAGGAAGTGAGCCAGGAGCAATCTAGTCCCTGCAGGAAGGAGCCAGTAGAGACATCTCTCCCTGGTTCTCTTTTCTATTGATTGGCAAGAGAACTGAGTACTCCATACGGTTTTTATTTTAGAAAAGAAAAACAAAACAGACCTTACTCTGAACCGAGCTAAGAGATTTTAGACAGTAAGACAGGGGAGATGGCACATAAAAACCAAGACTTCACATCTATCTCCATATTTATTTCAAATACAGCACACACATTATAACTAATACCCACATAACTCTTACAGCATATAAAATAGCCAAGCACTTTTTTTTTTTTCTTTTTTTTTTGAGACCAAGTCTCACTCTGTCGCCCAGGCTGGAGTGCAGTGGCGCGATCTTGGCTCACTGCAACCTCTGCCTCCCGGGTTCAAGCTAGTCTCCTGCCTCAGTCTCCACAGTAGCTGGGACTACAGGCGCCCACCACCACGCCCGGCTAATTTTTGTATTTTTTTTTTTAGTAGAGACGGGGTTTCACCATATTGGTCAGGCTGGTCTCAAACTCTTGACCTCATGGTCCACCTGCCTCAGCCTCCCAAAGTGCTGGGATTACAGGCATGAGCCACCATGCCTGGCCCAAGCACTTTTCATACACAATACTTCATTTATTTCTCACAGAAATACTGTGCAGTGGTTATGCCCTAAGTTTCTAAAGTGAAAATATGTAGGCTTGAAGAAGTAAGCATTGTGGCTGAGTATAGATGCTTCACAAAGAACAGAGACTCAAAACTGCAGTAGGCAAACAGCTCTATCACTGTCAGTGGCATCTGACATCATCCCCAAAACTACACATACATAGCAAAACTACCAACCTGCACAGCACAACTATCTCTGAAAATTATATCAACAGGGATGTAACCTCTCTATAAATCTCAACAGTCCTTCACAAGAGCAAACAAACAAAGAAGAAAACCTTTACGATGATGACCTAGAAAGTCCAAGGAAAGGGTATCTAAGGTTCTGTGTACTAGGTGGGAAAAACTGTAATATAATCACACTTTAAAATAACTTAATATTTTGCTGTTTCATGGGCTAATCTTCAATTTTATGAGTGAAATACAAAGTAGAGGTGATAAATACCTGCTCTTCTGTTTTTAGATCACCAAATTCTTGCATAAATGTGGTTTCTGAAGGGAAGCGACTTGGTTCCAAGAAATGAAGCAAGCTGAAGAGTTCTTCCACAGTGTTCTGGAGTGGGGTTCCCGTCAGCAGCACTTTGTGTTCCTGAGGTAACGCAAGGAAAACCACTAATCAAATTGTAACAAAAACACTTTCTTAAAACCAGAGCCTCTCACTAGATATCCACTGTTCTACTCCTACTCATCTATCCTATGAAAAGTATAGGAATCAGGCATGAAAACAGAGATATTAGAACACGATTTCTGTGTCAGGTAAACAGATCTGGGGACAGTCCTCTCCAGAACTCTACAGGGTCCTTAAATGTGTCTTGCCATTTTGTTTCTTCCTGGAGTTATAGGTCAGTATTTTAGTGCCATGGCTTTTTAAGTCCCCAAGTCTCAATGCTTTTATCCCCACCAGTTAAGTTTTTTTCCTAGAATCCCTAGATTCAGATGAAACATGCATGCTTCTTTCTGCTCTCTACATCAACAGTGCTCTCATCTCTCCATCTGCTTCCTGCATGACTCACTTCATAGAGACAAAAGAAGTTCCACATGCAACAGCTATGAAAAACTATTTTGTTCTGCAAAAATTTCCAACTAGCAAAGAGGTCAACTTGGTTGTAAATACCACAATCACTTTTTTTTTTTAAATCAGATGCTATTTATAAATTTGTCTCTTTGAACCAACTTAGGTATTTCTTTAATTAATTCTTCCTGTTTACGAACTCTTTCCCCAGCTTTCCTCATGCAGTTGTACCCTGTCCTCCTATTTCTATATATGCAATACAGAGGAGCTGTTTTACAATGGCCAGTCTTAACAATAGTGAGATATTAATCTTAAGAACCCTATTATTTTCTGCTTTCTCTGGCCATTTGGTACACAGCACAGCTAAGAAAACTATTTCAGAAAGTAAGTATACCTCCCAGTAGTTGAGAAAGAAATATTCTGACTTAACTCGGAACCTGAGAAGTCTTGGTTGCCAAGCAGAGTATACGCTCAGTAGATACTAGATGAATGACGTAAGAACATGCTAATTTTCTTAATATCTACCATGTCATATCTGTCAATGAAGCTCTTTGAAAGTGAGGTAAAGGAGGCCGGGCGCGGTGGCTCAAGCCTGTAATCCCAGCACTTTGGGAGGCCGAGACGGGCGGATCACGAGGTCAGGAGATCGAAACCATCCTGGCTGACACAGTGAAACCCCGTCTCTACTAAAAAATACAGAAAAACTAGCCGGGCGAGGTGGCGGGCGCCTGTAGTCCCAGCTACTCGGGAGGCTGAGGCAGGAGAATGGCGTGAACCCGGGAGGCAGAGCTTGCAGTGAGCCAAGATCACGCCACTGCACTCCAGCCTGGGTGGCAGAGCGAGACTCTGTCTCAAAAAAAAAAAAAAAAAGAAAGTGAGGTAAAGGAGTTCAATATACTTGTATTCCTCTTCCTCTTCCCTTTGAATAAAGTCTCTGAGGCAGTTTCATGGACCACCATCATCTTCAGACTCAGTGAATTCAAAAACAGTAGGGAGCAATCAATCAATTTTTTTCTAATGTACCACCACACTTGTGGATAGCCTGGGCCACAATCACTGACATACCCAAGTCCTGGATTACTGTATGCAAGAACTTTTTTTTAAGCCCCATCACATATTCAGGAAAGAGTTACTGCAGTAGATGAGCTGTATTGATTATCGTGTCTCCCAGTTTTTTCATATCCTTTGTTACTACATTAAATTAAATCTTGACTGCCTAACCAAATATTCTAAAAGTCAAAGCCTTTTTAACTTATTAATTTCAAAATAAACTTATCTGAAAAAAGGAAAGCACTCCTTTCTTAGGCAGCTTCCCTTCAATTATAGTTACACCAAATGATTATACACAAAATCCTTTCATACAGTTACCTACAAATAGTGGAATAAAACGAGGTATCAATTTGAAAGTGGGTAACAATAAAAAAAATACACAATTACTATGCACAGTCTCACAAAACATCATGTAAGAAACTCAGGCGATGGACCTTATCACCTCCACCTATGCCAGCAGATGTGCTTCTGCCTTGACAACATTACTATTCTTTTTAGCTCCGATGAAGTGATGTCCATTTAATTTCATTTTAAGCAGACTCTGTGTGTCAGGTTTCCTGACAATGAAAGAGATACCAGAATCAATGAAGAACTACCATGACCTCCACAGCATCCCCTCCTCGTGGATGGGGGACAACGAGATGGCTGTTTTCCCAGAGCTCCTGTGGAGGACTGTGAAGACGGTGACTGCCCCTCAACGTATCATCTTTACAAACGTTTCCTTGGTGCCTGCAGAGCTGAAGACACTCATTGGTCTTCCTTTCTGGGAATGCACTTGGAGATAATCCTCATCAAGCGCATTTTCATCGCAAGTAAGTCTAGTGCAGGTAACAGCAGTTCCCTATGGCCTGTGCCGTAGCTGGATATAGTTACTATCCACTATTTTGACTGTGACTTATTGTAGGAAAGAATAAAAAGTAGAAAGTGGCTAAGTTATCAAGATGCTTACTTTTTAAGTAAGGATTTAAAGACCAGACAATGAGCTGTTCGGAATTGGACAAATACAATTATATTCTGAACAACAATGTGTTCCATCTTGAAAACATTTCTTCTCAAATAAATACTCCCGATCATTAGAAAAATAAATATTTTGTTCATGTGCTAATCAGAGCTTCCCAGTTGGTGAGCCAAGGATGAGTACAGGTTATAAGTCCTTGGGGAAGGTCAGGACACCCAGGACTGGTGGTGTCCCGTGGCAGTAGGCAGCCTTCTGTTTTTACCCAAGTGTGGCATTCATTTTCTGTATGTGCCATCATGTGAAAAAGCTTAAGAACACTGCAATATGTAATAGGAAAATTATTTGGATAACAGATTCTAATCCATTAATCAAATGTTAGTATAAATAATAGAAAACTCTTTGAACTAGCCCAAAGATTGTGGGAGGCTGTGGGAGGGATAGCATTAGGAGAAATACCTAATGTAAATGACAAGTTGATGGTTGCAGCAAACCAACATGGCACATGTACACCTATGTAACAAACGGGCACATTCTGCACATGCACCCTAGAACTTAAATTTAAAAAAAAATAGCCCAGTGACAATCAGATTGTTTGATGTTGACAGAGTTAAATTAATGTGTACTCACCAATGAAAGAATGTTTTACAGTAAGAATCTACCATCTGGGAACACATGAACTAATAATAGAACACAACTCAGATAAGCTCAGTCAGATGACTGTTTAAGCCTTCAGGAAATGGTGACATAACTGTCTCTTAGTAGAAAACTATGAAGGTGGATCCCTACTGAGAAGATATATTTAGATTATATCATAAGCATTAGTGTTTACCTGCAAATACAAGTTTACTTCATTTTAATGCTTAAGTATCACCTGGAGTGAATAAATGCAAACACAGAGTTTCTCTTTTCCATATGCTTACCAAGGTCCCTGAGACTATTCACTGTTTCTAAGCACTCTCACTTGTTTTGTGGATTGGCCACCAAATAACAGTCAACTGCTTTGAGACAGATCTTAGGATAGCTTTAATAATAATTCATTAGGAAGAAAAATGGGAAATCCCACCCTAAATAGGATAATTCAGTCAGACTTTTTCCTTTAAGCAAAACTAGATTTTGTTTGTTTTAAACTAAAAGCAAAGCTGGCAAATCTAATCTCTTTAAGAATAAAATAAGCTGCTTCAGAGAATCAGCTGCAACAAAAAGCTTTTAGGTGTTTTTTGGTAATAACAGTCTTCAGCTAAAAATATATGGCCATGAATACATAGAACACTCCTTCTCATCTCAAACTCTCAGTTAACAAAAGATCAAATTAGCCTATAGAAATTAGCATTAAAAATATTTTAAAAACCTTTCTGTACTTCCATGAAACTCATCAAATCATCCAAGGCATGCTAAACGACAGTAGCTTTGCTTTCAAAATGTACATTAAAAATAAAATATAAGTGATCATAACCACGATATAAACTATGGAGTGAAAAGAAGCCTGAGGATGACAGGTCATGTTGAAATTCCCACTAGGAAATCATACACACAGCAATATTAGACAGAAAATAAATCAAATCCTTCTACTCTTATGATATGCTATTCCATGATGCTCCTACTGAAAAAAAATCTAGAAAATCTACTCAGGAAGACCTGATCATCTCTTGGGAAGCTGGAAAAGTATGGGACAAGCGTGGTGTAAAACTCCAGATTAAATCTGAGGCATTGTAATGCCCCAAACTTCTAAGCATCTGTGCGAACTAAACCAACCCCAGATATCCTACTCAACTCATTGAGAACTTGCATCTACAAGTCCTGCTGGCCACAGTATGACAAAACCTATGAGCCATGGAAAATAACTGGACTATCATCACTGAAGTAAAGCTTGGCCCAAAACTTAATGAAATGGCAGTACAAGTTAAGTATCCCTTATCCAAAATTCTTGGGACCAAAGTGTTTCAGGTTTCAGATATTTTTAGATTTTGGAATATCTGCATTTATACTTACGGGCTGAACATCCCAAATGAGAAAATCCAAAATCCGAAATGCTCCAATGAGCATTTCCTTTGAGCATTATGTGGGTACTCAAAAAGTTTTGGATTCTGGGATTTTTGTATTTGGTATGATCAACCTGTATTTATGAACAAAGGGTAAAACAAAAACTTGAAACTCACTTTAGTGAAGATATCATGATTACACTCTGCTATAAGACAACTGTTTAATAGACACTAGCCAACAATGTAAGAATCCAAAAGGCAACAACTTTTGAATAACTGAAAGTTCCAGAGAATATACCACAATATTTGACAAGCTTTTCAAATACTGTTTACAGGCATCAAATTCAGAGCAGTGGGACTATCAAGTCAGCAACAATTCTATTCAGGTTCAGTGCAGTCACCAATATGATCACTGACCAAGTCCATCATCTTGAGTCCCTCCAACAGCTTGCAGTTCCTGTTCTTCAGCCTGTGGGCTTCATCAATGACTACACAGCGCCATGGAATATTCCGCAGCTCAGGACAATCAGTCAAAATCATCTCAAATGTAGTGATGATGGCATGAAACTTATAGGACCCCTTTATCACTCGACCCTATAAGAACAACTCTGAATTATTATTAAGCATTAATGACTACATAAATAACTTTAAGGATGAATAAATAGCATAAATAGCATAAACATATATATTTATCCCTTTGGAGATCTCTTTATTTTAGGTGACATACATCTGTTTTCAAGTTATTTTGGCAGTTTTAAACTATATGGTAAAACAGAATTGTAAAACAAATGACAAAACTGTCAGTAAATTTTGGATCTAATCTCCTAATAGAGCACGTGCATCACTTACCACTAAGTATACCCATTCTAGTCACACATTCACATATGACAAAATTTATAATAATTTCCCAAATCTAAAGATACAGACTTCAATATTTTTTCTCCTTTAGTTATTTAATTGTAGGTCAGATTTTATACTTAGAATACACACACACATCTATCTCTCTCTCTCTATATAAATATATATATATATAGCAAAACATATATATATAGCAAAAGTCCTATTTGCAATTACAGGACTTCCATTTACTACCCATAACATAAAACTATTTTAGCATATATTATTCTTCCTTATCATGTCATTTATAACGCTTCACTGTTGATACACACTAATGGCATAAAGGTAACTAGAATAAGAAAAAATTAAAGCAATTGCTACTAACAGCCAAAGCATAAATTCCTCCCTTGGGATATATTTCATTCAATGTGTCATATATTTCAAGGACTTTTTACATCTTACTATTTTTCACTTCTAGCAATAGCATAATAAAATATTCTTTCTATTCACATTTAATATTACCATTTTTTGTTTAGTTTTCTCTTAGGCTTGCGAAATAAAACTAATTAACATATCAAAGCATTAAACAGATTTCAGTGATCATCCAAGGCAAAAAATTTCATTCCTTCTAATCTAATAATCAGAAAAACCAAAGCTATAAAAATAAAGAGCTGTTTTTTTAATCTATAGACACAGATAATACAAATGTAAATTGACTCAGATATCTAAAGCAAATTTCTCAATTTGGCAAAATTTAGGCCTTCCCAAGTCACCAAGACTTTGTTTTCTTTTAACACCTTAAAATGCACAGAATAAGCACACAGAATACAACCTGTGACAGTTTACCTGGGGATCTTTGAAGTACATTTCATACAACTGAATGGTCCGACGACTAGCTTGACTCCCATGATACACAACCACGTTCAACTCTGTCCAGGTTCGGAATTCCCTTTCCCAGTTGGGGATTGTGGACAATGGGGCAATTACTAAAAAAGGGCCATGGATTCCTTTCAAATATATCTCATAGAGAAATGTAATGGACTGGATAGTTTTTCCCAAACCCATTTCATCTGCTAAAATGCAGTTTCGCCTTTTGGAGGAAAATAAAGTACAAAAGTTTAATGAGTATGGATATGAGACACTGCTGTCATTTCACAAAATATATACCATTGTACTCACAAATGCATACTCAAAGGCTTTAGATGTTCTCTTAGATTCAACAAAATATATTTTCAAACAAAATTCTCAAAGAATAAAAATTATTTTACATACTTATATCAATCTCTGTTTAATATCTGTTAAATAAACGTTACATATATTTTCAATGCTTTTTAAAAAAGTTCTTATTAGAGTTAAAACATTAAGTTCTTTTTTATTATTTTCAACAACTAAAGGAAAGGAACTACAGATATATTTAAAAGTGAAGAAAAACCTGTTTTACATACATGTTGTACCAATTGAAAAGTAGCCAGTTTACTCCCTCCAACTGGTATTCCCTGAGTTTGTTATTGTTTTTATACTCCCTGGAACTCTCCGATTTCTTCCAATCATCAGCAGGAGGTCGCTCCTGTTTCAAATATAGTAAATCCCATTAGTGGTTTCCCAAAGACCACACCACTACGCTATTTTCAAATTAAATTCTCTACCATCAGCCAATTCTTACCACACGCTCTGTTTCCGGCTCCCTGGACATTAGTTTCTCAAACTCCTCGATCTTTGCTTGATCTATGTCCTGCCTCCGCTCCCATGTGCTGTCTTCATAAGGAAGTGAACACCACTTCACCAGATAGTGAGTCACAGGCTGGACCAGATTTAAATAAATCAGAATTGGATTAATTTGACCACATACATACACACACACATATATATGTGTGTATATGTATATATGTGTGTATATATGTGTATATATACACACACGTTTATACCTATACATATATACATATACATGTATACTTACATACACATTAAGGAAAAGCATGCTCTACTTCATTTATCAATAGACATTATCCTGGCATGAGTAAGTCTGAATTGACAAAAATTTAAAAACTATGGCCATAAAACAGCTGTTCCTAGTTAAGAGTCTCAAGTCTAAACAGGAAACAGTATATTACTGGGTATTATCAGAACAAATTAGCCTTTTATCAAAATCATTGGTAAGTGATGTTCGAAAGCCAGGAAGTATAAAGAAATAGCTAGTAAACAGTAAAGCTGAATTTGAGATTTTTTTTTATCTGCACAAATCATTCATCAGGAGTTTGATTCAGACTTACATGGTAAATCATCTTAGCATATTTAAATGTTTACATAATTGGCTGGTTTCTTTAAAAATGAGACATACGGCCGGGCGCGGTGGCTCAAGCCTGTAATCCCAGCACTTTGGGAGGCCGAGACGGGTGGATCACGAGGTCAGGAGATCGAGACCATCCTGGCTAACATGGTGAAACCCCGTCTCTACTAAAAAATACAAAAAACTAGCCGGGTGATGTGACGGACGCCTGTAGTCCCAGCTACTTGGGAGGCTGAGGCAGGAGAATGGCATGAACCCGGGAGGCGGAGCTTGCAGTGAGCTGAGATCCGGCCACTGCACTCCAGCCTGGGTGACAGAGCGAGACTCCGTCTCAAAAAAAAAAAAAAAAAAAAATGAGACATACACTTAAATTTATTAGGATCTCCACCTTTTCCTTAAAAAGAGTGATACTGTTTGTATCCAATCACACTAAAATAACGTATTTGAGCTTTAGAAGGGTGGAGCGCAAAATATTTCAGGTAATGCAGATCAACAGGATTTCCTTTGTCTCTCCTCTAGAAAACACTTGGGTTTGTTGACCTTCATTTCAGGACCAAAGTACGCTGACCTGGTCGTAATGTGAAAAATATTTGCTGTGCAATGTAAATATGCTATGAAACAATTTTTTGAAGTATAACTAAGGAAAACTAGAAAAGTAAAGATCATGTTACAGATATGGTCTTGGAAACATCATAGAGTGTCATGACACAGAGTTTGGAAGAAAATGGGAGTTCTTTGCAGACCCTTCCTAGACAAGCAAGATCCAAACACTGTATATATAAAATTCAATTTACATGGAGAAGCCAGGAAAGACAGAACTCATGGTGGGTGGGCACATCATTATCAAGACACAATACTCAGAAGTCACTACACTTGTCTTCATTCTTACTTCCCTATCAAATATCCCTTATAATCTCACAGAGTTTTGCAAAGCAAAATGAGAGTGTTGAGACTGGGATCTTTTAAGAGAAATAACGTCCATTAGCCTCTGTGCACTGCATTAAATGAATTCATCAACTTCACTAATGATGCCCAATTCTAAATAACCTTAAACTCCATTCTGCCACAAGAGACATTCAATTATATAAGGATACTTTGTGCTACATGACAGAATTATACCAAAATGTACTGAATTCTTTATCATATTGTGGAATTGTGCAAAACGTCAATGTGTTTCTTTCATATTGAAAATCAATTTTTTAAAAAGCTCTCAGACTAAACATAAAACATATTTAGCACTATTATTTATTAAGTCATAAAACTAATAACAAATCATTAAATTTCAGTTAAATTTAGGCCAAGTGTGTCATAGTCCAAGGCTCTGACCAAGACCAGGTCTAGGATTCTACCATCTTCTCTATAAACATGTATGGACTGCCTGAATCACCACTTCGTAATACAAATGATCTCCTGTTACCTCTCCCCGGTCATCTGTGCTACGTGCAAAGTCCATTATCCGGTCAACCTCCACATAATCTGGATTAAAAAGCTCATCCTCAATCTACACCAAAGGGGAAAAAAGAGTTAAAGGTTTATTTATTTCCCAAGATGAAATACTATTCCACTTTTCACCAAGCAATAATATTTTGGGTCATAGCAATACAACACTTAAATTTGCCAAATTCTATTATATTAATTAAAATGCTACAATTTAGCAAAATCATTCCCCATGAGGAAATCAGACTTCTCAGACTTTGTTAACTGGGTCTTTTAATTACCGTGTGAAACCTTTTACTGTGAGAGAATGTTTAAGAATATTTTAAATGAAGTGTGAAATTACAATTCACTAATGAGCAATCCAAAAAGCTTATGGCATGCGATGCATTTAGCATTCCTGAAACTACAGTTTGCAATGAAGAATCAGAGTCATGCAAAGTAAGTGTTACTTGGAATCTCATAACTCCTGGAGTTGTCCGATGCCTTTTAGCATCATTTACAAAATGTTATTCAAAAGCCAAATACACTGAAACCAGCTAATTTCATATTTTAGCATGATCAGAGTTTACAATGTTTGGTAGTATTTGTCAATCAATATTAGTACCTCATTTAGAATCACAGTCTTATCATTAATCTAAGTTTTCTAAGGATTTACACTGAATATAGTGTGTTTAGGTAAAAGTATTAAGGATAAAGAAATAAGGCCTAAATAATTGGCTTATTTAACCAATATATTAAATAATCTTACAAAAGTAAAGTAATATTGCTGTTTGCAAAGGCATCTCATATAAAAGACTAGAATTTGGCTCAAAAAAAAGTTATAGGCTGGGTGCGGTGGCTCATGCCTGTAATCTCAGGACTTTGGGAGGCCAAGGCGGGCGGATCACGAGGTCAGGAGCTCAAGACCAGCCTGGCCAACGTGGTGAAACCCCGTCTCTACTAAAAATACAAAAAATTAGCTGGGTGTGATGGCAGGTGCCTGTAATCCCAGCTACTTGGGAGGCTGAGGCAGGAGAATCGCTTGAACTTGGGAGGCGGAGGTTGCAGTGAGCCGAGATCGCACCACTGCACTCCAGCCCGGGTGACAGAGCGACACTTTGTCTCAAAACAAAACAAAACAAAAAAAAAAGAAAAGAAAAGAAAAAAAAGTTATAGACTAAGCCATACCCAAAAGAAGTTAGGGTCAGACAAGTTTCAGATGTTAGAAAACAAAAGACACATTTTATTATGTGTACCTCTCAATTAACTTATCAATAATATAACTGCATTAAAATATTTTGCAAAAGGCAAACTAGAAGTCACTTAGACACCATTCATATCCCTTGAATTGCAGGTTGAAAAGATAAGCAGTTCAGTCATCATCTGCTCAAGAGCAACAAACTGTCCCTGGCTACTCGGCCCTCTTAAAACACCCACTTGGGAAGCTTTGAACTGTGAATTATGAAACAGAAAGCAGAAACACAAATACATGTCTCAACTACCTCAGGCTTTTACACAGAGGTGATTAGTAAGGAAAAAAAAATCCATTGAAATGTTCAATTAATATAAAGTATTAGTATATTAATAAACTGGCTTTTCAAAAGCTTCTAGACTTAGGTAAACACACATGTTATCCATGTACAGCAGAAACACTTAAACTTTCTCAAAACCACGTTTTGATAGCAAAAATTCCCTCTAAGAAAACTTGTTCTTAAACACGAGCTTTCATAGTCAGTGCTGAATTAAAATCCTTAACTTTTCCTAAACATTTCTACCCTTTAAGTGAGTAATCTGCGGCATCACACATGTGATGAAATTTCCAGTCTAAATGATGTTTTTGAATAGAGATTTTTAGTTGCAGCAGGCTTGTAAGGCAGCCTAAGTAGAAACAAAGAAGTAAAAGCAGCTGAAACTGAAAATCTTAAAGCAGAACAGCCATGGAACACTTGAAGCCATGATCATGTATGGGATGAAACAAATGGGGGCACGTGCATTTTCATGTGTAAAAGAGAGGGAGGAAGGGGATTGCCATCCTTCTCTGCTAACTCCCACTCAAGACAGAAACTAAGATTTCTAGCTGACAAGTTACCAGGTAAATAATGTACATTCAACTTTGGTATGTATAGCTAGGGCTAGGCACAATTTCCTAAAGACTGTGTGACTACAGGAGACAGAATACAAATAAACTTAATAAACAGGACCAGGATTTAGGGATGGGGGGAAAGCTACCATTGTGCTTCTGCCTGTCTCCCTCCCCCTGGCCCACAGAAAAGGTCAGCAGAACATATGGTGTCTCCTTCTAAAAGGAGGCTAATGATTTCAGCTCATCCAATGTCCCAAAAATTCAACTCTGATTTCTTAAGAAGGGCATGAAAAATAGAACCTCATAGCATTGTTCTCAAAATCAAATATTAAGATTCTTTCTTCAAAAGAATTTTCCTCCAAGTTCTTTGAAGAATCTTAATATTCTCCAAGATCTATGAATTGAGTCACATTCGAGTAACCCCATTCCACTCAGTCCGAACCACTGCACTGCCAAAAATGCTGCACACTCAGAGTGCCAGGGGTAGTGATGCAGACATGTGTCCAGTAAAAGAACAACCACATGATCTCCCATCGAACGCAGACTTTACCATAGGCCAGTTGGGATCATGGAAATAAAAACCCAGAAGAACACAGACTTGTTACCTGATAGTATAAGGATTTTATGACATAAAAGTACTAAGTGTTCTTCTGTCCCACTTTCCTTCATCTCCAAAAAGGGGTGGCAGTGCAAAGCAGGTTGTTAAACAGATACTATTTTGCATCAAATTGTATGCTTCTTTACATAAAGTCTACATTCTGTCAACTCTTTTATGAAAAGAGGAACTAATAAATCAGCAAGTCTTATCTTTCAATGTTAGGGTTTTTCTTTTATCTACTTGAGGCTGTTAAGTGAAACCAAATTGACGATCAAAAGTCCAGAGACCCTAGTAAGCAGCTTGTGAAAGCACTTTTAAAAAAATGTAACTACTATACTGCGGAGGCAGAGGGCAGAACTGGCACTTCTAGTAAATGCAGATGTTCTTCCCTGACATACTATTGCTGTATTTCCAGACTGATACCTGGGATAAAGGGACACAGGCAAAGATATTATTACCAGTTTCTATGCTACAACACAGCATTTGCGAAAATGAGTTTAGTGAACTCTCTGTGATTAGGCATTGACTTGAACAAAATAAATTTGCCACATACTTTCCCCAACACAAGTTAAGCTTTTGTATCTTACTTAGAACTTGTACTTAACATTTACTGTAGAGTTCTTAACCTGCTAAATCTCAATAGAACTTCTGTCCACTTAATTTCATCGCCTACTAACTGTACTTTCATTATAAGACTTTTATCATACCATCACCACTATTTCCACATAATATCATAAGGACCCATATCTTCTAGCCTAAGCAACAGGAAGAATGAGAAATTTCCTGTTTACAAATTTGTTAGCAAGAACCAGTTACCAATATGCAAGTAACAGCACCAAATGAGACTATTTTTTCTTAATTCACGGAACTAAAATTTTAAATTTAGAACATTTTAATAAAGTAAATACTTTGGAAAAGTAAGCAGGTATTTCGTACCTCTGAAAGGAACTTGTTCTGGCCCTGCTTTGCCTTAAATCGTTTAATTTTTTGCTGAATTCTCTTATCTTTTTCCAGGTCTTCTACGGATGCCCACTGACAATGAAGATAAGAGCTGAAAGAACAAAATAATATCCTTGAAATATGTAGAATATAATTAATCCGTTATTATGTCTTATTCAAAAAAGTCAACTAAACAGATAATTAAAATAACCTGCTTAATTACTCATTAAGGCTGCTGAGCAACATTTAATATACCCAATAATGTTTAGAATAAGAAGAGAAACTCAATATTAGTGCCTAAAATTTGCCTTCTGTCCTAAGCCTCCAGCTCTCTTACCAGCTACCAACGGAGAGAGACAGTGACAGAGACAGAGAGAGAGAAAGAGAGACAGACAGACACAAGAGACAGAGAGAGAATGGCCTAATAACAATCTATTTCCATAAGTGAATGGGTTACACTTCAACATAAAATTAGCACTACAGGGTGGCCTTAATTCTGAATTTATACTTTGAATCTCCTACCATTGAGAAATAGGTTTTTATCAAGTTAAAATAATTCAAATTTAAAACAGCAGTTTCTTTGGAGATAAGAGGTGTAGGGTACCCTAGAGTCATCCAAGGCCTATCATACTGGTCCCAAAGGGAAACCTAACCTGGTTCTTCTAGAACAATCTAGGAGGAAAGAACCACTGTTTGCTCCTGGAACACTGGGCCATGCCCCTAACCAGCTCTTTATCAGTTGCTGGTCTCCCAGGTTGTGTTCCTCCAGGCGTTCTGCAATGATATCCCTTGGTCCCCTGTGAATGTTTCACTTGCTATCATCTGTACCTGCACGAGGCAACCCCCACCCCCGGCCTCGCCACCCCCTGCTCTGAGCATGTATGGTGTCTTCCCTCACCTGAACTGGAATACATTTGTACTTCCCTTTTCTTCTCCAACACTCACAGGTACACAGTTAATGTTTTATGGCAACTCTGACATTCTTTTGTTTAGTTCTTCAATATTATTTTGTCCCATCACCCTCTCCCTGCCCTTCAAATAGCCTTGACAGCCTCTTATTTCTCTTTCTGGTGATGACATTAAAAAGAAATTATATGCTTGAATATATATATCTCTTTCAGAATCAACATACTAGTACTCTTAGAAATTGTGCTTTAGTTCACAGAAGTCAGAAGTTTAAAACAAGTAAAAAATTATACAACCATTACAAATTTTTCAAAAATGATTCATGATAAAGGAAATGCTTATGATATTAAGTAACACATAACCGATAACCATGTCTAATACGATTTTCAAAGATAGGACTCATTTAGTCCTTCTATAATTGAGGGAGAATAGGATTTTAAATACATATGAGTTATATAGCTATGAATTGATATAAATGCTATATACACACACAGAAAATATACTAGATAAAACTGTATCAAAATGCTAATACAGGTTGACCATCCCAAATGTGAAAATCCAAAAGTCAAAATGCTCTAAAACTTGAAACTTTTTGAGCACCAACATGATACTTGAAGGAAATGCTCAATGGAGCATTTTGGATTTCAGATTTGGGATGTTTAACTACTAAAGTATAATGCAAATATTCCAAATTTGAAAAAATCAAAAATTCAAAACACTTCTGATCTCAACCATTCCAGATAAGAGATACTCAACCTGTATTGATTATTTCTGGGTACTAGGACTGCAAGTATTTTATTTTCTGCTTTCAACTTGTAGTTTCCAAATTTCCAATAAATAATATGCAATACTGTCATAATCAGAAACACATATTATATGAGGCAGCCAGATCACCTGAGGCCAGGAGTTTGAGACCAGCCTGACCAATATGGTGAAACCCCAACTCTATTAAAAAATACAAAAATCAGCTAGGCCGTGGTGGCATGTGCCTGTAATCCCAGTGACTCAGGAGGCTGAGGCGGGGAAATTGCTTGAACCCCAGAGGTGGAGGTTGCAGTGAGCTGAGATCATGCCACTGCATTCAAGCCTGGGCGACAGAGGGAGACCCTGTTCCCCCTGCCACACATACACAAAAAGAAACACATATTATAAAAATAATCTGCTCTAGTCTCCAAATTATTTGACAGAAAAAGGCACAAGTGCGGTCAGTCAGTATTCTTGTCTTGGCTGAGGTGCAAAAGCCTTCAAAGCATCACCTGTGTAGCCTTGAACCGGACACAGGCATATATGCAAGTGGCTCCAGCCCTGCTTTATCTGCTATAAACTGGGATGAAACTTTTAGTGGGACTCTGCTTTCTAGACCCTGATGATAACCCACTCTGGAGGCTTAGTCAGGAAGAAGAGGAAGGAAGAATAAAGGGTCAAAAATAGACTGCTTTGTCTTAATAGATTAAGGCAAGAGAAAGTTCTAACTGAACTAGAACTAAATTTTTTTTTAAAGTTATGAAGAAGTAAATGTAAGAAAAATATTATGAAGCTAATAAGAAATAATCTGAACTAGGCCCTACAGATAATAAAGTTTATGGTCACTTTGGAAAACAAAATTTCATTTAAAAATAAAATGTAATGACTATGAAACAGGTATACATTTACACCTAATCTTGACAGTTTAAAAAAAAAAAAAAAAGAAAGTGCATATCCCTTACCCATATCAGTGCAAAGTAGTAAATATTTATATTTATAAATAAATATAAGTAAAATATTAACAAACACGACTCCACATCACATTAAGAAAATAATACGTCATGACCAAGTAGTTATTTCAGGAATGCAAGGTTGGTTCAATATTAGGAAATTCACTAAAAATACACAATATTAATATATCTAAGGAGAAAAATCACACAGTTATTTCTATTGACATGGAAAAAACATTTGATGAAATTTAACACCCATAATGGATTTTTTAAAACTTAGGAAGACAGGAATTGATAGGTATTTTGTTAACACATATTTGAAGATTTTAGTTCTAAAGACAAGATCTTACTAAATGAAGAAACACCACAGTTTTCCACAAAAATCAGAAAGCATGGATACCTACTATCTCCACTATTATTCAATATTGTATTTGAGGTTATTAGCCAATGTCACTGACAAGTCAAAACAATAAGAGACATAATAATTAGAAAATAATAAGTAAAGCTATCTCTGTTTGCAGATTATATGATCAGGTACCTGGAAAACCCTAGAGAATCAATTAGAAAACTAATTCAAATAATAAAATAATACAGCAATGTAGCAGAATATAAAATTAGCATACAGAAGCCAACAAATTGTCTTCATTCACAACAACAATTACCAATAAGGAGATATGTTACAGAAAACCTCTTTCACAATACCAACAAAGATAAAATACTTAGCAATAAATTTAATTAAAAATGTGTAAAATTTGTATAAGAAAATATTTAAAACTCTTATAAGACACAAAAGTAGAACTGGACCACTGAAAAGACATCATTTTCACACTGTGTAACTCAACATCATACATCATACAGTTGTAAATTTAACACAATGTAAATAAATAAAATGCAAACAGGCATTTATATGGGGCTAAACAATACTAAATTTTATATATAAAAATAAACATGCAAGAATATCCAGGAAAACATTAAAAGAGAAAAGCTACTAGGGAAATAGATCTACCAGATACTAAAACACACTCTAAAGACTCCCTAAGTAAACAGTGTGGTATTGGTTTATAAATAGACAAGCAGTTCAAAGGCATAAAGTACAGATAAATTAAAAAATAAATAAAATAAAAAAAACTTTAGGACATAATAAAGTTTGGATCTCAAATCACTTGAGTCAAAAATTGACTCTTTTTTTTTTTCTTTCTTTTTTTTTGAGATGGAGTCTCACACTGTCGCCCAGCTGGAGTGCAGTGGTGCGATCTTGGCTCACTGCAACCTCTGCCTCCCAGGTTCAAGTGACTCTCCTGCCTCAGTCTCCCGAGTAGCTGGGATTACAGGTGCCTGCCACCATGCTCGGCTAATTTTTTGTATTTTTAGTAGAGATGGGTTTCACTATGTTGGCCAGGCTGGTCTCAAGCTCCCGACCTCATGATCAGCCCACCTTGGCCTCCCAAAGTGCTGGGATTACAGGCATGAGCCACTGCACCTGGCCAAAAATTGACTCTTTAATAATGGTGCTAGAATAACAATTGAAAAAAATTAATTTAGAGCCATGACTTACACAATACACAAGAATAAACACCAAATGGATCAGGCACCTAAAGAGATAAAATGAAACCACAAGGAAAGCATGGACAAATTCCTCTGTAATCTGGATATAGGGAAAGGCTTTCTAGCTATGACACAAAAGCTAGAAACAATAAAAGAAAAAACTAATAAATCTGACTGTACAAAAAATTTTAATGGACAATGCAATAAGCACCATAAAGTCAAAAGACAATTGAAACCGAGAAAAGATAGCTGCAACCCAGATAAAGAACTAATATCCCTTATATATAAAGAGCTCTTAAAAGTTAAGAGCATGACAGAAAATGAGCAAAAGACACAGACAACTGACAAAGCAAGATGTAAAAAGTGACCATTAAACTTATGAAAAGGTGTTCTTATTCACAGTAAGAGAAAATGCTAATTAAAACCTCAACTGAAATACAATTTCTTACAAAAATTAAAAAGTAAAACAGCACACTATATTAGAAAGATTGTGGGGAAATAGGTATTCGCATACATTTCTGACAGGAACACAAATTCATACAATCTGAAGGAAGGGAATTTGGCAGTATCTCTCAAAAATACATACATGTTTGCCTTTTGTATCTAGCAAACCCCCTTCTGGGAATTCACCTGGAAGCCATGCCTCCAACAACTTGAAAATAGAGAGATATGTATGAGAATATATATTGTAGCATTATCTGTAATTGGAAAACATCAGAAGCCACTTACACACCCACATACACAGGAGGTTGGTTGAATGGTTATGGCACAGTCATGCAATGGAATACTATACAGCTGAAACAAAGAATGAGGAGGACCCCTATGAACTGAGGTAGAGTGATTTCCAGAATGTGATGTGAAAAAAAGCAAAGCACAAAAATATACTAACAGTACACCAATTTCTTTTTTTGTAAGAAAGAAGAAGAAATCATACCTGCATGCTCAGGCCAAATTTTACAGAAAGGATAAACCTGGGATTAGTAAGGAAGCAAGCAGGAATGGGGTGGAAAGGAAGGGAGGACTACACTTCTTTTTTGTATAGTTCTAACTTTTGTAACATATTAATATTTCACAAACTTGGAAAACAATAAAAATCAACAAGCAGGGGCTAAAACGGAATACAAATACAAACCAAAACTAAGGAAACACACTGTGTATCAAATAAATCATGAGGCCCCAACCTTTTTGGCACTAGGGACCAGTTTCATGGAAAACCTAGATCCCTCGCATGCACAGTTCACAATAGGGTTCACGTTCCTATGAGAATCTAATGCCGTGCTGATCTGACAAGAGGCAGAGCTCAGGTGATAATGGTTAGTCGCCTGCCGCTCACCTCCTGCTGTACGGCCAGGTTCCTAACAGGACACTGACCAGTACTGATCCACGGCCTGGGGACTGGGCACGCCTGAAATAAGTAACAAACCACACTGGTGGGGTAGGAAAGGAGAATAACCAACCTAAGGAAATTTTGGATAAAGTTTTAGTCCCTATGCCCTCAAACTAAAGACAAAAAACTAAGCAAATATAGGCTTCTTTTTCACAGAAATATGGACTAGTAATTCTGAAATCACTTCCTATATATGTTAGGACTGACAAAAAAGCAAATATAAAAAATAAAAGAGCCAGGTTTACTCTGGTTGAAGACGGGAATTACTAATATTAAAGGGGAAAGGAGAGAACAAACTGAGCTGCTGAAATAGTACTGTAAGCATCAATATATAGGCATTGTTTTTGCTGTTGTGTTGGAGAGGTAGGTAAATATGTGTGTGTATATGATAAACAGATAAGTGTGTGTGTAACTCGATATATGTATGTATATATACACACACACAGACATACATACACACACACACGTGTACACTCTCCCAGTCCCATCCACTGAGAGGCACTAGAAGCAATAATTCCTCAGCAACAAGGAACACCTAAAGCCCAAATCTTGGTTTCTCAGTGCCCCCCGTTCACTGAAAACAACCAAGCCTTCTTGGAGAAGTAACTGATTCCATAACTAAAACAGGGAAGTTACAAGACGAGCCTGGAACATCCTCTGGTGCCAGAAAGCAAGAAAGTGTTCAAAGAAAAATGAAGACAAGGCAAAAGGACACAAGAGCCAGTCTGAAGGGGCTCCCACTGGCCAAACCTGGTATAATGTGGGCAAAGTAAATACTACAACAGTAAAGGGTTATAATCCCTTGAATAAAATGAGAAGCCACAAGTCCGCTCAGCTATAAATTAACAAATGGACAAGAGGGTAAAGCTCTTCCCTACAGTAAAACCCAACCAATCAATGTAGAAGAAATGATGGAATTAGTAAATCATCCCTTCGCAACCATTACCATATTTAAGTCTTAAAGTACCTTTCCAGAAGACACACATTAACTACAAAAAGAAAAACAGAAATTCTTTGTACTATTTTTACAATTTTTCTATAAATGTGAAATTGTGTACAAATATAAGGCTAACAAAAACTCGTAGTTTTATGGAAATCTTCTCTTAGCTCTCAATAACAACAGTCAGAAAAGCTATTTTTTTTTTTTCCAAAACTCCCTTTACCTCATCTCAAATGACTTTTGAGAAGGGCTAGAGTCTCCTGGTCTGGCAGTGCCACCTGGTCAGGAACTCGGAGCCCATCTCTGGGGTCACTAACAGGCTGACTGGAAGGAGGCAGCTCAGGCCTCACTGTCACACACTGATCTGGAGGTCTCTCTGGTAGTACCATTATTTTGGTGATTGATATTTGAACTCCTATGCTCTTGTTTCAATTTGGTAAATCTACAAGGGAACTCTCTCCCTTTGGTTTACTTAGTTTACCTCCTCCTTACCATAGGAAATCGTGTTGTAGGCATAATTTCCACATGTGTAAACTGACATGCTCTGAGGACAAAAGAATGACGACAGTTAACATTTTCCGAGCATTTTTAAAATTGTCAGACTGTATTTCATTGAACTCTCATGATAAAACTGATAGAGATTTCTTTATCTTTTTACTTGATAAAAGGTTTTACTCACAACTTCTTCAGAAGCGCATCAATCTATTAACAGTGCCAACTACAACAAGAGAGAATGATAGAAAACCCATGGCACCTGATGCTTTCATTTTCTAGGGTGGGGTAAATTTTCTGAGGCTGTTTTCACAGCAACTCACAAAAGCCTCTCTTTAAAGCCCTAAGAATGTATTAATATGGTGGTTTAGTCCTTTGTCTTAAAAGGGGTAAAAAAATAAATTTAATGTTTACATTATCAATGAACATTTTGTCCTTGTTCTGTGATTGTTATTTAGGTTACAAAATGGCCTCAGTCGTCTTCAGCAGAATGATTACTGACTCTGAAAACACCCTAGCTCATCGCAATGTCTGTCTGGGCCAGGTGTACTGCTTACAACAGAATCTACAAGGACAACAACTCACTGTGTTTTTCAATTCAGATTTTTAGTTATGAATTCAAATCTACTAAATAAATATCAAAAACAAACAAAAATAGATAAACCTATAGCTCACTGCATTTTAGAACCTGAGTGATGCCATGGTTCTCTAGAACTTTCATTCCACAGGAGAGTTCTTGTGTCTAGGGCCTTGCACCCTATGCACAGGTGAAGGGACGAAGTGTAGCCCCACAGGGTAGAATTCATGATCAGAGGACAGGGAAATACTGCTTTATTCATTTTTCTATTATTGTAGAAGTTTTTATCCTCTCTAAAAAAATACTTATTGATTATATACGGAAGTTAGTCAACTTTTACACCAATTACACATTTTCCAGAAAAATTCACAAAATATCAAACATACAAAAGTTAGTTAAAAAATGGCATCCCAGGCCATGATGACTAAAGAAATCATACCAAAGTTTCTTAATTCACCAACTTAAAAAAAAAAAAATGGTTGCTTACTACTTGGAAAATATAGCCCCCCAATAAAAACAAAATCACAATTTACTTACAAGTTTTTGTATTTCACATAGAATTCCTCAATTTCTACCTCCTCTCCAGATTCCTTCTGCAACAAAAGAAAATTTCAGGCACATACTTAAAACCATCTACTACAATATTTTAAAAGTAATGATTTACTCCCATATGAGCACAAAACAGGACTGAGAAGAGCAGCACAGGCCCTTCACGTAAGATGAGCACGCTGTGAGCTGGGAGGCGGCCAGGGCCACGGAGACTGCCACGCTCAGGCCCATGCACGCACCTCTGCCCGACGTGCAAGAGCTTCTAAGACATGAATCACTTTAACTCCTCCCTAACCACATGCAGCTTCATTCACAACAACCTGACCCCAAATTTGGCTTTCTGCCAAACCCACAGTGTTAAGTAGACGCCAAGTGTACCATTTTCTCAGGCAGCAGCCAATTAGCAACTGCTCTCCTGAATGCCATATGTATTATTTTTGGCTGCCTCATGGCAACTTTACATTGTGGGTTTTGTAATGTTTTAAAATATTTAAAAGACATTTATTTCTCCATATACTTAATAACTCTAAACAAGAAACCATATAAAACTAAACCTTGTTCTTATGCTATAATTTCAGTGCATCACTATTCATAGTTTCACTCAATGGTACAATTAAAATCTCTCAGACAAGATGTCTCACACACATAGCAGCCAAATAAAATTAACACTCCAAATACTACATTTAGGTAAGGTTAAAATTGTGATACATGTCAGCCAAATCAAGAGTTTTCAGTAGTAAGATTATCTATAATATCTCCCTTGATCCCACCTGCTGTAGTGTATGCAGAAGTTAATGTTCAGATGATATTTTAGGCATCTCTTTTTATTCCCCTTTTGGTTTTAGGCTCTTAAGCAAGTCATAATATGTAATTTCCTTCTGGAACATTTGATCAGATAAATCAGGGATCTAAAATATAAACACCACCTACAGATGTTTGGGGATTGCTTTTATACTCTTACAAGAGACCCCAAGCCTGCCTTGAGGGTGTATGGCTGTTCAGCCACCTCCAAAATGCTTCGAAGAAAATCAAGGCAGGCCGTGAAAATCCAAGGGGCAAGTAGGAACATGGCAAAGAACAAACGAAAGAGCAAAGGCTTCTACTGGATAACAGACGGGCACAGATCTGTTCAAAGGTACTAGTCCCCTCAATCTCTAACCTTCAAACTATTTTCAAAGATTGTGAACTTAAACTTTTCTTTGAAACTCTCACTTATAACAGTTAAACCTAATTTTTTTTCTTTCTTTTCCGAGATAGGATTTGCTTTGTTACCCAGGCTTGAGTGAAGTGGTGCAAACATGGCTCACTGCAACCTCAACCTCCCAGGCTCAAGAAACCCTCCTGCCTCAGCAACCCCTGCGCCTCCCTGCCACCTCCCCAAGTAGCTGAGACTACAGGTACACACCACCATGCTCAGCTAATTTTGTATTTTCTGTAGGCTGGGTTTTACACCATGTTGCCCAGGCTGGTCTCAAACTCTTAGGCTCAAGCAATCCCTCCGTCTCAGCCTCCCAAAGTGATGTGATTACAGGCATGAGCCACTGCACCCAGCTAAACCTATATTTTAAGTAGTTTTGGCCTGTCTAGAAATCATCAAAAGGAGTCTGGACATGCAGGAGTCGTCAATATCTATTAATATCTGGTTGTGCCCTAATGGATCTATGAAAGGTGATAACTATAAAGTATTATTTTAAACTAATGTATTCAGAACGCCTTCTATGTCATAGACTTTTAGTTATCCAAAATAAAAATAAATGTTTGTTGGATGGCTTCAAGAACCAGCAACATAAATGGAACATGGAATTAATTTGTAAATAAATACTATCAAGTTCAAGTGGCAATCCATCCAAGACCCACCCTACTTTTTTCTCTAGTCTTAATATTTCCCCATTCTACTTCCATTTCTTTTTCTTTTTCTTTCTTTCTTTCTTTTTTTTTTTTCCTTGAGATGGAGTCTTGCTCTTCTCTGTTACCCAGGGTGGAGTGCAGTGGCGCAATCTTGGCTTACTGCATGCTCCTCCTCCCAGGTTCACACCATTCTCCTGCCTCAGCCTCCCGAGTAGCTGGGACTACAGGCCCCGCCACCATGCCCTGCTAATTTTTTTTGTATTTTTAATAGAGACGAGGTTTCACCATGTTTGCCAGGATGGTCTTGATCTGACCTCCTGATCCGCCCGCCTCGGCCTCCCAAAGTGCTGGGATTACAGGCTTGAGCCACGGCACCCGGCCTCCCATTTCAAGATATATAATCTTTATAGAGAACCAGACATTCCAGCAGAAAGACAAAAAGATAGTAGATGATCAGGGAAAAAGAGAAGCAAGAAGCAAGGATGAAACTAGATCCTTTGATTCTTCACACAGCATTACCATGAAATTCAAATCAAGAATGGAACTCAAAGGTCTGAGCGTTTGCCCTTCTGATAATAATTATAATTTTTCAATTTTGAAGGCATTTTCAAAACCATGTATCATTTATATAACTGATATATGTTATAAATCATAAACAAGATTTATCATGTCTATGCTCTTATTATTTCTCCTGATTCTTCTATCTGATCTTTTCTCTCATACTGTCCCTTTCCTTCTCATTCTAAATGGTCTCATCATCCCATAATTCTAAGTGGGCACCAAAACATACAGGATCAAATCTTGAACAGTAAAGACAGTTTTTATTCTGTCTCAAGTCTGTTCCCAGAAAGCTCTGACTCTTACAGCCATCTGTCCCCAACTCTCATTACTACCCACTTTCTTGTCATGATAGCTATTCCTCTGGGAACCTGCTGTGAAGATGCCTGACAAGAGAGTCTAGGGCTGCCTAGGAGGAACCAACTAGGTTCTGAAACTTCATTTAGCAGCACCTGGAGCTGGTACAGAATGTCCCAGGGCTTGTTATCTTTAGGATGTTTCAGAATATAATACTTTGTTCTGTTTAACGGACCACACATATTGGATCACCACCTTCTTGCCCCTAAAACTATAAATAGAGCTGTTTTTCACTGTTTCTTTCACATAAATATGATCATGCTGACCTCTTTTCTTTTACTGAATAGTAAAACAATTTAACAAAAGTGTGTGAATTCATAAGCCCTCAGAAACATCATTTCAATTATTTACTAAATGGGAGGCAGTTTGACCAGCCTCTGATGACAGCTTACAACAGCCCCCACCCCAAAACCTCTCACCTCTAAGCCCCATTTTCAGAAGCCATTCTACAATGGGCATAGGCAACGAATAACTAAGTCACAGCACTATTCCCATACATACACACACATATACACACAACACTCAGATTTATTTCTTGAGCAGCTACCATTAAATTTGAGAATCCAGTAATATTATGAATTAAACAGAATTTTTCTGAGAAATGTATACACCTTTTCATTAGTTCCAAAATTAGTCTATGGAAATCCTTATTATCCATATGAAATTTAAAGTTTCAAACATACTAAGCCATACTTGTCCCACTGTTCAAACAAACCAGAAATGTTGAGAAGGCAATAAATGAGTTCTCCAGCCACTTGGATTCTAAACAGCCACCCAGAGTGTAGGCCTAACTTAGGCCTTTTCTATGCATCCTACTACTAAATTAAGTAGTCATAGTCAAGAAACTAAACTACAGAGAAAAAAAAAAAGAAAATTTTGTTAAATAATACACAAAAGAATGAAAAAGCACCTCAATAAAATTATCAATAAGGCATGGGTATGAATCCCTTTTACTTCTGGCCCAACCTACCGTATTACTTTACTAGAGACACCAAATCACAGTTCACTTAGGGAAACAACAAGGACATAATAATGGATGAGATTAAGAGTTTTGCCTTCTTTACACTCTAGGAGGCTCAACTAAAGAATTAAAACACACACTCTGAAAATACGGCCTGTAGTTAAAGAAAAATAAAGAATTTTAGGGAATACAGTCACAATTCACTTTTAAAACTACTTCTGGCCTTGTGATATAAAAAAAAAAAGAATCTTTGAATTATTCTCCAAAGATGAATGACTCAAAGCAGAAATAGCTACAGGCTGACTAAACAAGGAAAACAAAATAATAAGCCTTTATACAATCCAAATATCTACTCATATATCTACCTCAAAATTCAAATAGGCACCAACTACCTCATGCAACTAGGTGTCATAGACATTAACCTGGGTTTAGAACAACATAAATGCTTGAGCTACCCCTATTTAATATGAGGTGCTGAATTAGGGTGCCTCTGCCAAGTGAGTTTTATGTTTGCACAACTCCATCATAATGGATCATGATGCTTCTCAGGCCATAGTGATGAGGTCACCTGACTTTGAAAAACATGGAGTCTCTACTCTGTGTCAACACCATGCAGAGCTCATAGCCAGTTTCTACAGTGCTGCCTGGCAGAGATAAAGACACCTTCTCACAGCCAATTATTAAATTATTCATGGTAATAAGAAACAGACCAGCAGGCACAGATCGAATCCACAAAAAATCTCAAATTTCCTTTTGTTTCTATTCGCAACACTTTCTTCCAATGTTATTAAAGGTGATAACTAAAATACCTACTTTGAGAATATTAGCAGTTTAAAAAGTTAGCACCTGTTAATGTTTAGTACCTTCTAACGCTTTTTTTATTGCCCTTTAAGAAATACCAGTAACTGACAAGTAATTCCATGAGCTCCACATCTCTTCTTTATTTTAAATCATACCTCAAAGCATATCTCCCTTCCAGAATAATTTTTTCCATTAATTTTCTCCAGCTTCAAATTCACCAACTCAACAAATGTCCACCCTCCTGTACAGTGATTTTTAATCTCCTATGATAAGATAAACCCAATCATCAGTAAATGGTTAACAGTACCTACTCCTAAACCATGGGTACCTATCTTTAAAGGGTAGCTAAAGAGGAAAAGAAAACAAAAACCCTAAAGTGGGCAAAACAGAAAGAAAAAGCAGTGTTCTACATAATGTATAGTCTAAGTAGCTCTGAATAATAGAGCTAATTATAATTTGCAACCCCTAAACCTGCTGAGTATGCCTGCTGAAGCACTATCAATTGAATGAAAATGAATATATCCCATCTAAACGACATGCTATTTACTCAAACAAGTCACTTCAATTCAGTGAAGGGGATTGTTCTTCAAAGCATGTCAAGTATTTAAATTTTACCATATATCTACAATTCATAAATTAGTAGTTCTAGAGTCATTAGTAGGACAAAAATGCAACCTTCTAATGAATTAAATAGTGCTTGTTTCTACTTGAGCAGGTGGAAAATTTGGCTGAGATTTTATCATTTCATTCATCAGGAAACCCTCACATTCAAAAAGTCACCAAGATAGCCAGTCACTCCATACACCGTATCCCCTATACTCAACTGGAAAACACCCTGACATATTGCTCTTCTTACAAACTAGAGATACATATTTCGATAAAAATTCATACCTTGACTCACACGATAGCAAAGCACACAGTATTAACATGAAAGTAAAGAGAAGTTTACCTGCTGGTGCAATAACATGTTCAAGGATCACTCAATAGCAGTATTTGAATGGTAATGGTTTCCTATTTGATAAGCCTGGGATCTCACTTTATTATAGGACTCTCACTGAGTCCTGTAAATCCTCCATTCCTCAACTCTCTTACTGGGAGATACTTTGTATACATTTTACTAAAAATAAACAACTTTAGGCACTATGGCTCACACCTGTAATTCCAGCACTTTGGGGGAGCAAGGCAGGAGAATTGTTTGAGCCCAGGAGTTCGTAGCTAGACCATGTCTTTACATTTTATTTGTTAATTTTTTGAAGTTTGTTTTACATGCTGAAACATGAAGTTGTAGTTCCACCCTCCTTGAAAGCAAACACAAAGAAAGAACTGTGTGGAATCGATAACGACTGAAGCTGCAACACAGACACCTATGTCTAAAGCAGACTACTTCCTAGAGACACGAAAAATTGCATGTTGTAATACCTAATGCACCTGCAGGTTTATGTAATTATTCAAACTAAGCAAAGCATTTTCTCAAAGTGGGCTGTAAGAAGGGAGGTGGCTAAAACAGGGAATTTTCATCAGTAAAAGAAAACACGGTGTCACTGGCATTTTTTGTTAAAGAGCATATGAGTACCTCAATGACAAAGCAATCAGACTAGTGACAGATACTTAGAGCTCACCTTTGCAGATCAACAGAAACTTTGAATAACTCTGAAGTACTAAGTCAAAACTATTTTTTAAAATTACACTGAAAATAGACCTGTATTTCACTTTTGCACTGGCAAGAAAGAAATGAATAATTGTATATGAGAAAATGTTACAATACACATGAGAAAACACCTACTTGCTAAAATGACAGAATTTCCATCCTAACATGAAAGAGGGGGGAAAACCTTCCTCAGAGAGATTAGAAGTAAATTCATGTTTTGATTTTTATGAATAATATTTATGAAAAAGGCAGTCTACAACTTTGAAAGTCCCATACATTTATTTGGAGACTTTTGAGTTTCTAGTTCACTCTAAATGGTGTAATAAAGCACTGACTGCTTGATATATTTTAATTTCATTTGGGGTCAAATATCCCAAAGATTCATATTGGGTTAACAAATTAGACAGGATTAGAATTATTACTAGAAGTTTTATTTTACAATATTAGAATTTTAAAAGAAAATTACAAAGCCAACAATCCTGTAAGAGTTGCACACACCTCACAGATTTTAATCGTTCCAAATGGCACTCACCTGCTTTTTTACTGAACGACTGCTCATAATTTTTTCTACCACGGGGCCTTCTGCATCAACAGATTCCTTAAAAAAAAAAAAAAAAGAGTCCTGTGAATCAATTCAAATAGAAAACATCTCATCTCAAGCTGTAAGAGCAAGAAATCTTTCCCTTTTGCTACCACCTCCACACCTTTTAAGTCACTGGGCACAAAGTTATCAGTGAGACACACGACTGAAAGGAACAAAAATCTCACTCTACTGAAAGGCAAAAGGAAGATTTGTGCTTATTACTTCATGATTATATGGTTTAATTATGTGGACCAGCCTAGGTCCCTAAAGCTAGAGAGCAATCAGAAATTCTAGCCACCAAGACAAAATAATTTCTACATGTTAGCAGTCAAAAATACAACTTCTCTTCATCTATACCCATGGGGTAAAGATACTCATCATTCTGCTATAGTAGGCATCTTTTATCTATGGAGGTCACATAAAACATTATGTAACAACTTAACATAGAAAAAATTACCAAATAAAACGCAAAGGTGCATTTAATACACTTTTCAACGGGTTACCAGTTTGTTAACTAAAGTACAGTAATGGTAAGAAAAAAGCATTATTTTTTTAAAAAAGATCTTTATAATGATCAATCCTACACTACCCATATTTTATACAAACTGTTTTATCCATCATTTACATTGCACAGAGAATAAAGTACACCCTGCTGGGTACTACAAGGCAGTAATTTCATAAAGGGGTTCTCACAGTGCCTAACAGCAGGAGACAAGCTTGAGTGGTTTATTAAAGTCCCAGAAGCCACAGCACTGAATTCTCAGAGGTATATTCAGCCTCCTTATATTTTAACTCTGGCTCTTCCTCAGCATAGACCATTAATTCTCCAAAATTGTGTCAAATTACATATCACAGGCTTATATAAAAATAAATTGCAGTGAACAGGGCTTTTTAAAAGATACTGCTAAACAACGTATTTCCCATAGCACATTATCCAACATTAGGTGGATGTTCCCTTGCTGAAAGTACAATGCTTCCACTGCACTTCTCAGATTGCAGCAATGAAATTTCCAGTCCATCTTTAAAATGCATCCATAAATCCCACAAATCTGGCACTAACCTGCTGTTCTGACTGCGAGGTGTTGGAGGGGGAATCCCTCCCAGCAGCATCTGCATCATCTGCCTCCTCATCGGAAATCTTGAACTCCAGGTCTTCAGTGTAGCGCTTTCTCTTCACCTGTCTGCTGGACCGTCTCTTCTAAAACAAAAACCCAACACAGTGGCCTTGAACTTAATGATTAAAAAGAAAAATGCTCTTTATAATGGCACCGAGTGGAAGGATGAATTTTTTAAAAATTAATCTTAAGGAAAAGGTGATAATGTTAATCCTATAAATGATGTGAAAAGATCACAGTGGTAACAAATAAAATAGAAATGGGTGGAAATCTGGAGTCAGACGCCTGGAACAGCTGTAGCCCTGCCACTCCCAGCTACGTGCCCTTCAACTGGGAAAATGGAAATAACAACAAATCTGGTTCCTCACTCAGTCAGTATGTCCATCAAAAGTGGCAGCAATACTGGAGCTGGCTAATGAATCTACAGGGGTTCATTATACTATTCCTTCTACCTTTGTACATTTTAACATTTTTCCCATATAAAAAGTCCAAAAAAAATCAGTGAATTAGAAGATAATCTGTAAATTATAAAGTTCTATACAAATATTGTTATAATGCTATCCAAGGTACCCAAGATATTTCAGGCCATTTTCAATGAAAGGTTTTTGTATTTTAATCTTGATCCTAAAAGAAATACTCTGAAAATTTCTGAAGAGATGAAGGGTTAAATGGCAAAATTCATAATGAATGACTATGAAAAGTAATTTTACTTTTAAAAATATGTTTTTAGCATAGTGGTTAAAATTAAAAAGATTGGTAACAGCCAGTATTAGCAGGATTACTGGCAAACTGGGTATTCTCACAATCCTGTGGTCAAAATGCAACCCATACAGTCCTTGCAGGACAATGTGGTCCTATCCATCAAAACTTACACACGCAGACTCTTTGACTCACTACCTTCACTTCCAGGAAGTTTGGGAATATCTGCAAGATAAACTGTAAAATAAAAAGAAAAACAAGCCACAAAACAAGAAGTAGCTTAAGATTCTATTTAAGATAAATAAAAAATGTTATCTATTTAGATGTGTGCAGCTCATTGATATATTAACTTCTTAAGACAAAAAGACTGCATATCTTGTTTACTTCTCTATGCCTCAATGAGTATTTGCTAAAAAATGAATGTATATGTATATGGCTTTAAACAAAGGAATCTGAAAAAACACACAACAGACTATTAATAGTTATAAAGATGGGGAAAGAAGCAAATGGAGCAGAACAAGAGGTTCTGAACTCTTTGTTCATAATAATTCTATACTATTTAACTGTTTTGTCAAATAATTCATTTTGCAAGCTAATTAAAAATAAGGAGAAATAACCTTTTTATTGATATATGTATGTGAAATCTAAATTTGAAAATGACACATGTAAAATTTTAAGCTGCTAATGAATTCAAGAATATTACAACCTATGGAATGAGTTTGCAAAGCACACAGAAGAAATAGAAATATTGAGAAAAATTTTTATACAAAATTTTTTCTAAGAATTATGAAATAAAACTTTTTAAAGAGTCTGATGAATGCTAAAGTTGAGACAGTAAGGAAGAGAGAGGCAAAACATACATTGTGCGCACCTAAAGCAAGACAGGCACTACCAACTCTCAAGTTAGGATGAACACAATCCCAGTACTTTTCCCCAAAGAGTGGTACTGATTGATTTAAATCTTATTAAGTTTGTGTTCTCCCTGCTCTTAAAAAGGGATTTGAGACAGTTCACAATATGAACTCGGTATAATATGACCATCAAATAGACTGTTAGAGACTGTTAGCTACAAGCCACACACAGCTGTGGCCACAGAGGTGCAAAGTACTTTTCTGACGTGAGACCACTCTAGAAAAACTTTATTAAGAGACTTCCCTGTGGCTTACACGGAGGGAGTAGTGACATGGGCCAGAGGTTCCTCCTGGGACCCTCCTCTACAGGACAAAGCTTTGGCACTGCCCAAATCAACCCCAGGTGGAGGCAATAGAGATTTCAGCAGAGTCTTTTGCCATCTGCAATCCTTCCCCATATCTCAGGTGGCAATTTGATCTTGTAAGTCCTAGAACGAAAAGCTCTTGTTTGAACTGGCCTCGACTCTTACCATGTGACTCTTATCATGTGACCTTGGACAAGTAATTTTGTGGACGACTCCTGGTCTGTAGAATGGGGTTAATGACAGTAACTACCTCATATGAATACTGTGAAGATCACATAAGGGAATTCATTCGAAGCTTTTAGAACAGTACATGGTAAATAATGTGAGATGTAATTAGTAGGACTAAAGTTATCATTAATCAGCTCCAGCTTTCCAAAGAAAAATGGCCCAGTTACCTTGTACAGCTTCCCTTTTCTTTCCAAAGCTGACCTACTTACTCCTGCTCTCATGCCCACTTTACCATTCCTCACTTCTGGACCACCAATTTCTTCAAGATATAAAAGGCCATTATCAAGAACAATTTTAATACTGCAAAATTTAGCATATGCTGTATTTCATTTGATATGTCAATTTAACTCAATTTAAATGGATTCATTTATATTTCCATCTTTACACCATTCCAGTAAGAAGGAATGGGCTCCTAGTGATCTGCCTGCAGATGTTTCATCAGGTTTCCCTGCTTAAGGCCCCACTGTCACAGTGTTGTGCCATATAAGTAACTGGATAGGGTCTAAGACAAATCCACTTTATGCTAAATCCTACCCTGATGTTAAAGAAGGGTTCCACCCAGTGCAATAAGACAGAGTGCTTTCTTCTTTTTAAATAGAAATTTATGAGTTGGTAAGTATAACTTTTAAAATATAAGTTCCTCCTCATATCAACTTTGTGATATAAATCTGGGCAATAGTGATGGAGTTAGTTAGCAGTGGATACAAGGTCACTTCATATGTAAAAACACCCCAAAATACAATTATAACTCAATTTTATACAAATTTTTTAATGTTACATGGCTTCTCTAGTTTTAAAATAATAATTGATCTTACATTTATTTTGAGTATCAAGGTTCCTTTCACAATTCCCCAATGTAAAATTAAATTATCTAATACACAATGTTTCTATTGTGATCTGGTAAACTATTATTATCTGAAAGATTTTTGCGAATCAAAATGAAATATAAGAACTGTCTTTAAACCATAATTCAAAACTTTTGAATTGACACTAAAATAATAGATCGACTTTTTAAACTCAGATTGCTTTAGAAAAGATACTTAAAACAGGTATAACAAATAGAACATTTAAATGTTTCCATGACCTCACTGTTGAAGTAACTTGTGACACAATTTTGAGTTAGTTAAAATTACATGACATGGACCTTAGTAAATCAATCACAAAACTCAAGAATTTTAATGCTAAGCCCTTCATGCATGTGTTACAGGAAGAAATATAATAAACAACAAGTCAGCATCACTTCCTGTATCAGACATATCAAGAAAGCACAACTTTCAAAGTCAGATCTTGTGTGGTTGCTTATATTAGCTATTGAACACGTAACAGTTAGGCCCTAGTCAATTAGAAAGGATACACCAATGTTCACTTGAATTGATTAGCAGTTTTCCATATTTGAAATGCAGCAGGAAAAAAAAAAAAAACCCTAAAGCTAGCATTTCATAAGGTCCATCTGAGTCTGAATTAATACAAACATACTTTTAAAAAACAATAGCAGTATTTGTGAAAGAACAACAGAATTTCCTCTACTGACGTAAACAAATTCTTAATGCTGTCCAAATACTATTGACATAAAGGTCCTACTTTAAGCAAACATGAATCAGGAGAAAATACCCTTAAGGATAAAAAAAAACACCTCAAAATCATTAAAACATTTGATTCGGTAAGACCAGATCCCAGTAAAAAAATAAAAATCATTAAAACGCTTTAGTTGTAAAACAGCCTACGCAATTAAAAAATGATATCTACTTACCTTCCCAGTATCTTTCCATTGATGTATAAAATAAAATCACAAAATAACCCACACTGCCAAAAGTATCACTATGTTAGTTACACAACCAAACCAAACCAAACCAAAACGCATTCATTCACTCCATCTCTCTCTCTCTCCCTCCCTTTCAGGTCCAGCTTAAGGCTATTCTGTGAAGTTACAGGTATCAGGGAGTTCTACTCTAACAAACAAAAAGCCAAACCCAAAAATATCTGAAATTCTTTGGAATAGAGCTGCACACTACAAATAGTTTGTTTCTGACTGGTGAGGGTACAGGTGGAAAGTCCTGAGTGTGTACTAAACGATAAGAAAAAGTCCAGTAAGCTTCTAGAGGCTGGCTTCCTCCTGCAGGACAACTCTTCAGGAACTGCTCCTTGGCAAGTTAGATGTCATTCACATAAGTTACATTCCCAGCCATCCCAGTGGACTACACTGGCATGCTTCCAGGGAACCTAACAAGGAAATAATTTTTAACTGTCACGTGTAAGGGTCCTTCTCAGTCCAATCAGTGAAGGCAATATGCTTCACACACAAGAACCTACATTCCTCACGTTTACTTCAGGGTTAGCATTTCAACTCATTCCTATAAAACTCTCCTAATGTCAGGAGAATATTCTGCAGAGTTGCCATTTGGAAAGTCACTGGCTTGTTCTTAGAAACTTTAGTATTACATGAGTTACATTACATGAATATATCTCAACTTTGACTGTCAGATGTCAGAAACTTTAGACAAGCTACTACAAATTATATCTTGATTTTTAATTCTGCAAAATTAAAAAAAGTGACAATCAACCAAACTTTAGAGAAATTTTAAAATGTGAATGAAGTTTTATATGAGCCTGTATATTCACAAAATGTTCAACAATATGTTAACAATAACATAGACAGCAAAATATACATTTACAGAAATAAATGAAGAATCTCTGCCTTATTAATTATAGAATCAAAGATAGCAAAATCAAGCCACTCTCGTCAGGAGTGTAATTTCTTGTTCCACGCCCGCTCCCCCTCCCCACATCACTATGGAGATAATGTTCCAGACCACAATAAAGACATCTCAAAAGCATCTCTATAACAAGATAGCGGAGGTCTTGTGTACTTCATACATGGCTAAAGTTACCTATGTTAAATGACCAAGGCTCGGGAATCACAATAATTATATTACCTGAACACCTGGGTCCTCGTCTTCTTCAGGAGGAGGAGATGGTGGGGGTGTTTTATCTAAGTCTGAATTTTCAGAACCTTCTGTTTTTCCCTTGTTGACCTTTTTCTTCAAAGCACTTGCTTCTGAGTCAGGTTTCTTATTACTAGAATTCAAAGTGGATCACTTAGTGTTCACTTTTAATGTGTCTCTGCATGTCTCTTATATTTCCCACATTAATATCCCAAAAGTATCAATGACAATTGTTAAGTTCATACATATTGGCTATTTACAGTTAAATGCAACTTCCAATTAAGTTTTCCTGGCAAAACTCCATATTAATGACTTTTAGCAAATATATGACCTAATTAAAAATAAATTGCATGCAAAAACTTATACCACACATAGTATATTTGTGCAAAATGCCCCCCAGAACATCAAGCCATAATAAAAAATCAGATTAAGAAGTAGTTTTGCTATCAAGTTTTTAAGGTACACAACACTTTTTTAATTGTCATGAAAAATGATATCATGATCATCTCTTTGTATCTTTTGTGGATAGTTTTACACACTTATTTAAGTACTCTTTCCACCAGTACTAGAAGGTATCCTCTTTTATACCATCCAGTTACATTTTTGTTCAACTTATAATCTTTTAGAATATAATCAAAATATATAGCAATTTCCTGTTGTACATAATTTTAGTTAGTGTTGTGTTCTTAATTAAATATAAGCTTTATTTTGGTGCTATATGTTTTTTGAGATAATCACAATTAGCCCTTTTTTTGAAAGATAGTTCTCTGAAAAATAAAAATACAGTAAAGCAACCCTAATAAAGTGCATGTTTCATAGTATGCTGCTGACAAATGTTAGCAGAATTTGAATATTACATAAGACAAAGGACATAAACTTTAAGAAAAAAAATGTTTTAAGTTTGCCATTACCTCTAGAACCTTTACCTGATTTTCTTTCAGAATGTATATTTAGTGTTACCTTCCATTTCTATTTCCAAATCAGCTCCAATTTTTTTTTTTTTTTTTGAGACAGAGTTTCGCTTTTGTTGCCCAGGTTAGAGTGCAATGGCACGATCTTGGCTCACTGCAACTTCCGCCTCCCGGGTTCAAGCGATTCTCCTACCTCAGCCTCTCAAGTAGCCTGGATTACAGGCATGCACCATCACACCCAGCTAATTTTGTATTTTTAGTAGAGATGGGCTTTCACCATGTTGGTCAGACTGGTCTTGAACTCCTGACCTCAGGTGATCCACCTGCCTTGGCCTCCCAAAGTGCTGAGATTACAGGCCTGAGTCACTGCACCTGGCCATCAGCTCCAAATTTTCTAACACCAATTACTATTTGTTATCCAACACTGAAAATAATCCAACCTCAGTAATGATATTTTTCAAAAATATTTCTAGGGAGCCTCAAATTCCAATAAATTGTGAAAAACAAAAGCTGTATTTCAAAAACCTTCAAAAAGTTTATTTATTGAAATGTGTAAGTTCTTAGGAAAATGTGCTGACACAATGCATTAAACAGCATGTTTTTACCGTCGGCTACTACAAAAGGAAGAAGCCAAGATATCTATAAGGCTTTCAGAATAAAGCATATGTCATGTAAAATATTTCAAAAGTATTGTTAATAAAGTACCCATCACACACCTAAAATGGATTTTTTCAACTAAATAAAATATCTGATCATCTTAAATTAGTTATTCTTAATACTCAAGAGTTTTATTTTATTTTGTTAACATTTTAGCATAGTAAATAGCTACATAAGAAAATAGCAATTCAAGATTATAGCAAATGGCAGTTAGGTTTAAAAAGCTATTTTTATTTAAAAGAAAAGAAAAAGGAAATGCTCTAAAAACTTTGTCTTCAAAAGATCCACAGAAAGCATAATATTTTTAAAATTAAAAAAAAAAAAATCCATACAACCGTTCCTCATCCAACTGTCCTAGTGTTTACGCTACACATGGACAGAAGTCTCCCCTACTATGAGGTTCCATTTCCAGCATTTATTTCCGCTCTAACTGCCACAAATTATACAATACTACAGCTGAACACTGGGCCCCTTTCCTTTCATCTGCACGCCAAGAGCAATCAGATTACCCTGGTAACCAGCGGTCACATGACCAGCACCTGCTCTTTTGGCTGGATGCCACTGACTAAAGCCATCTGCTTCCCTCAATCAGCTTTCAAACATTCTCAACACCTGCGCTGCAGTGTTTTGTGGTTTCTTTTATCAAATCAGTGCAAAACTGCTTCCAAAACTTTACATATTTCTCAAATTTGTTTAAATCAGAGGTAGGCCTGTCAAAGAGTTGAACCACTGCCAGGTAAAGTGAGTTGGCAGCTCATGCTTTTCACGGTGACCTCTCTATACCAGAGTGAAGTACACGGTTTAATTTAGAGGGCTGCCGGGCCCTGCATGCATGGTCCTACAGGAGTAAAAGGCTTACTATCTGGAAACCGACCAGAGCCCAGGTTTGAAGAAACATCAATTTGCTGAAGGAGAGAAGTGCTAATGATTTTCCGTCTGCCCTTCCAAAGAATGAACTGTATGGAACCTCCAAGATAGCTGAAAGTCAGACAGGCCCTCTCCAAATGTTTAGACAAAAAGCCTATAGCCAAGGGAAGCACTTATCCCAGATCTGAGTATGGAAAGATTTCTAAACTCATCAGACCTTGCACTACTCATGTTGTTAAGGGACAGCTAAGCATTTCCATGCATCAATATACAAATCAAAGAACACTCTAGGAAGTAAAAAAAAAAGGCAACAAAATCTTCAGTGTCCACCCTACAACATTACCATCAAGGACAAAATTAAGTTATGTAAATTAAATTGCCTTTGCTACTATTCTGCAATAAGCTAATTGTGATTTTCAACTAAGTGTTGTATTAAAACTGCTTTGCCCAAATATATCCAAGTCAAGATTTTTCTTTTAACAAACAAAGGTAATCTAGAATGGTGGATATGAGCATTGACTTGAGTCAAGACAAACCTTAGTTCCAGTTCGAACTGTCATTTATAGGCTGTGACCATGGATAAGTTACTTAATTTGAGCCTCAGTTTCCTCATCTGTAAAATAAGGTTAATATTTATACAGTCTTCCAAGATTTATTATGAGGTTTAAATGAGAAAATGGCACAGACAGTTAACATCCACACCCATGTGAAAAACAAGCAGCTGAGTCTGGGAAGTATTCTCTGGTCATGGCTCAGACCCATTTGGGCCAATTCAGCTGCAGAGACTTACAGACAGGACCCCACCTTCACCAAGGATGACTTCATTCAAGCAACATACATAGAAGGAAGAGCCTTCATCAATATTACTAAGCAGTTGCTAAAAGAACATGCAAGCAAACAGACCCACAATGCACTCCTCCCCATGCCCATGACCACTGCTTTAGTTCAGACACATATCATTTCCCGCCCAGGCTATTAATCATAACAGCTCCCCACTGCCTCATCACCCTCATGCCCCACGTGCAGGGCTATACAACATCAGACTGGTGGAGAAAGGACAGAGAGTCCACATGCATAGTTATCGTTTATATCTGTAAGCGTAAAAACTAGTCTTTTATAACATCAAATCCAAAACATAGACATATATTCCTCTTCCAAATTACAATAGAAGCTGGAATGTATAAAAACGGCCAGTGTTCTAGGTAGGGGGGATGAGAATGTCTTTAAGAAGTAACATCACTTAAACCAACATTGCAATATTGAAGATAAGGCCACTCTGCTGCCTGACGCAGATACAGAACCATAAGACTCCTCTAACAGCTGCAGTGATGGCTACTCATGGGCCTAGCTCAGGCCGACAGCCACGTGGCAGCCTGTGAGTGGGAAGAATAACTAGGCCATGTGCAGGGAACACCTGTAAATTCCATCCCTGAATGGCACCAGCCCAGAAGAAATCAGGTCTGCCCTCATTCCTCTCCTAAACCTGCTCTGCCTTCTGCATTTCCCACCTCAGCATCATGGTAATGCCACCAAAACATCACCTGAAAACTCATCTCAAGTCACCAGAGTAACCAGCTGAAATGCAAATCTGACTGGGGCATTCCTCTGCTTCAAACCTCTACATATAATGTCTGAGATTCTCCATATGGGGGTACCAGACCCTTTGCCTCTTATGCTTCCAGGCATACAGAACTATTCTCCAAAACACACATGTATCTCTTCTACCTATACTTTTATCCCAATCTACTCATCTGCAAGACTCAGCATAGACACCACTCATTTCAAGAAGCATTTTCTAATCACCACGGTCTGGATCAGATATGATCTCCTCACTCCACCCTGGATGGTGTCACATGATGTACCCCATACAAAGGATATGTAAAATACACACAAGTTGGTGGTAACATTACTGCAATGTATTAAAATCAAAGTACTATATGTGTGTCTTTCTCCAACTATCATACAAGCTCAAGCAGAGAAGGAACTGTGTCTTACTATGTTTGTATTTCTAGAGCCTACTCTGGTAGGTTACTTATAATTGTTAACTGGTCTAGTTACAACAGTACAAGTAATAGCAATAACAACAGCGGAAACATACATAGCCCTGGGTATGTACCAGGCACTACTCTAAATATTTTTCTCATTAACTCATATAAGAACTCCCCACATAGCACCTACCTTGATGAAACACCTATAAAGCTCAGTAAAATCGGGCTAAAGTTTAAAAACATAGAGTGAAACCTAGCATTTTTTTAAAAACCAATAGAAAAGAATACCATCTACATACCTTGCCTTCATACTCACAAACTTCTTTTGTGATCCTTATCTCACATCATTACTGATAATGACCAAAAACCAGGCCACCCCTCCTGAGGCTAGAGGCTGAGACACAGAGCCATCCACTCATGAAGCTAGAGAGACATGGAGCCATCCACTCATGAGGCCAGAGAGATGTGGAGTCATCCACTCACGAGGCTAGAGAGACGTGGAGCCATCCTCTCCTGAGGCTAGAGAGACGCAGAGCCATCCACTCGTGAGGCTAGAGAGACTCGGAGCCATCTATTTGTGAGGCTAGAGAGACGCGGAACCATTCACTCATGAGGCTAGAGAGACGTAGAGCCATCCACTTGTGAGGCTAAAGAGACACGGAGCCATCCACTCCTGAGGCTAGAAACTAACACACAGAGCCATCCACTCA